GAGAGAGAGAGACCCACACGCAAAACGCGCGCGCGCGCACACACACACACACACACACACACACACAAACAAACATCCCAAAATCATGATCCGGCTGTCATTAACAGGAGTTATGAAAACCGTCTACAGTTCCAAGAAAAGCCGCCAGGGGTCCAAAATCTAACCTAACGACATGCCGAACTTCATGACAATACATCCATAGCTTCTTAGCCTGCTATTAAAACCGTACACATCCAGATATACAAACAAACACACACATACATACATACATACATACATACATACATACATACATACATACATACATACATACATACATACATACAAACATACGTACAAACGCTACCGAAAACATGACCTTCTAGTACCTCTCGGGGCTCTAAAAGCGAGCACCCTGGCGTGTTGTGGGGCAGTGCTATGGTTATGTTTGTTAGCGAGTGTTCCGATGCGACCACAGGTTTATATCATTTCTCACACACGTCCGTCTCTTTGCCACAAGGGGAAAACTTCCAGGGAAGACTGCCCGTAAATCTCCTACATTCCCACAATGTCAAAGTCGAGGAGGGAGGGGCCCAATCTGGTGACCTGGGATTGGGAAGGTCATGTTTGTTTACGCATTAGGTTTGGGGCTTGTGATGACTAATGGCGTGGGCCGTGTGGTAGAGCCAGGAAAAAAAAGAAGTTTATTGCAAATCCATGCCCGAAGGCTAATTGCAAGTTACAAACATAAAAGAACTCTGAAACAGGGTGTAAAATAACTTCAAAATGTACATAATGAAATCTAATTGTCTAAAACTATGTCTGAAGGGTTTGGCGTTCTCTTTTGTAAACCTTGGAAGACGTAATGCCCCACCTTTTCTAAAATTTAAAAAGAAATAAAGGTTTATTGGCTATTCGAAGTAGCTTCTGCTAGAGGTATCATTAAAGCAGGTACTGGAACATTGGAGGCTTCCAGAAAAAAAAGTAGTTGTCAAGGAAACAACAGAGAGTGTGTCAAGTTTTCCGGAGCAATTAGACGAAAATAACCCACAAGTAAAAAATCAGGAAAAATACAGATTGTGAAATCTTTCAAGTCTAAGGTCAACAAACATCTGTCCTCACTGACTGTACAGTAACCCAAAACATTTGAGTGGCTCTAGTGAGCCTTGTTTTGTGGTGAATCATGAAGTAAATAGAAAATGATACAGATACCAAGGACCTTGCTGAATGCTGATACATTGTACAAAGAAAAGATAAACCAAAGGCATCATCTGGGACCCAATAAACCTGAGATAACTGATCATATACCGAAAATCAAAGAGATCCGTCAAATCTACCATGACTTACAGCTGCGAACACACAAACAGGACCAAACACAGTACCTTCCCGTGGAAGGATATCTCCTTCCCTGGAGATAAATATATACAATTAGATACATATACCGATAGATAACAGCAGTGCAAGTGCCGGTGATATATATCACACATCAGTAAGTGTGGGTGCTTAGATACCATCGTGAATCGTCAGACGTAGAATAAGTAAATCATTGTTTGTTGTACCCAGTATTGCACTATGTCATCAGCTGATACGTGCAGAGATAAACCTTGGCACAGGAAGTGGAAAGAAGATGCAGATCAACTGTCAAGATTATATATGTGGGCTAGAACAAGCCTTGTTCTGTGTTACACGTACGCGTGGACAAGGTCGCATTGACAACATCGTCGGTTTTAGTTCGTTTCACATCGACATCTCAAAGATAGATTGAAATGTAGAAGCTATATATCACCGGTACCAGTTGTCAATCTGTGAGAAGATCTTTGGTGGCTGCAAGGCTAGTATCTGATTGGCAAGACGGTATCATTGGCAGGGCAGTATACTAGTATCCAATACGCCACCGAAGAAAAAAAAGACACCTTTTAAAAAATTAAAAGAATGCCTGACAAAAACGCCTAAAATCACGTCAAAAATAAGCTAAATCCTAAACATCTGCTTGGATAGTGCAGTTCTTTTTGAATACGCCTTTCTAGCCTCTACCAGGCTTCAGAAGTGGCTGGAAAGAGTAGAAATTGGTCGAATAGACAGATAACATATCAGGGGAGTTGGTCCGCAGTTCAGGAGTACTACTGCACTCCATTAGACCAATTTTCACTCTTTCCAGACGCTTCTGAATCCTGGTAGAGGCTATGGATAGGGATAGGTTGGCATCGCAACTAAGCAAACAGAGATATCAGAAAATGCCTAAACGCCACAAAATCCACAAATGGTTGTAAAAAGCACATCCCCATCCAGTACGTTTGTACTTTGCAAATTTCCACACTTTCCAGCCTCTTTTGAAGCCTGGTAGAGGCTATACAAACTTTGCTCCGCCCGTGTGATAAGATGTTGTACATCTCAGACACAAAGATAAGATTGACAGGAGGAGGTCAGCAGGGAGACCGTCCCCGTGCCCTGACTTCCGCCTGACAGCCCGCGCGTGGGTGGGGGGGGGATGACCTGTCGTATTACCGTCCCCTGTCAACGTCACCTCACCCTGAACGGGCCGACAGCTCCTCATTTCCTGCGGGGTGTTGTCACGGTGCACACGCTGCGGAGATTGGGAGATAAGATCGATCTGTGAGGGCTTTAGGTTGTCAACTGGACGTTTTTTTCCTGATACATCACCCTTTTCTTTTCATTCTTGTTCCTTGATTTTTGACATTTGACAGCTATCTTGCCATTCTCTATCAACAGTTTCAGTGCACATGCTGAGGAGATTTCGATTTGAAGTTGAGATAAGATAGATTTGTAAGGGCTTTGGGTTGTCAACTGGACGTTTTCTTCCTAATATATCACCCTTTTCATTCTTGTTCCTTGATTTTGACATTTGACAGCTCTCTTGTCATTCTTTTAGTTTATCAACAGTTTCAGTGTGTCTATTGTTGTTATAATGCTGTACATGCTGAGGAGATTTCGATTTGAAATTGAGATAAGATCGATCTGGGTTGTTAACGTTGACTGGACGTTTTCTTCCTGATATATCACCCTTTTCCTTCTTGTTCCTTGATTTTTGACATTTGACAGCTTTCTTGTCATTCTTTATCAACAGTTTCAGTGTGTCTATTGTTATACTGTACATGCTGAGGAGATTTCGATTTGAAGTTGAGATAAGATCGATCTGTTTGGGCTTTAGGTTGTCAACGTTTACTGGACGTTTTTGTTCCAGATATACTAGTATGGCCCCTCTCTTGTCACAGTTTCAGTGTGCCTGTTGATGTTATAATGTTGTAGATGCTGCAGAGAGAGATTTCAATGGGAAGTTAAGATAAGATCGATCTCATCAACGTTGACTGGACGTTTTTGTCAGTACTTGAAGTGTGACATTTGACTGTTCTTTTGTCATTTCCTCTATCCATTAACGGACACGTGCTTGAGGTGGTGCCCATTGCCAAGTGCTTGGGAGTCACATTTCAAGCCAACCTGGGATGGGACAGTCAAGTCAGAGAAATGACACGTAAGGGGAACCAGCGCTTGTACTTGTTGTGCCGACTACGCCAGTTTGATCTACCGGTGGAGGATCTGCTAACGGTCTACAAGTCGTTTGTTCGCCCGGTGGTTGAGTATGCCGCCCCGGTATGGCATGGGGGGTTAACACGTGACCAACGGAAAAGAATAGAGAACATACAGAGGCGAGCGGCAAAGATAATGCTGGGAAGAAACTACCACGGGTATTCGTCAGCCTGCGAAGTGCTGCACTTACAAACACTTGATGACAGACGTTCTACTCTCTGTCTGAAGTTTGCTAAGAAACTGCTCAACTCAGAAGAGTACCGTGGTTGGCTGCCCGAACTCAGAGGTGACGTCAGCGGTAGGGTAACAAGACAAAGAAACCAACTAGACCGATTGCCAGTACACACAGAGCGGTACAGAAACAGTCCAATCCCATTCTTAACCAGTCTGCTAAATAACAGCATGTAGAAGAAGTTTTATTACTATAGATGATGTTTTTTATTACTATAGATGATGTTTTTAACCGAATGACTAAGATCGTAACCTACGTATTGTAAATATTTTAAAATAATTTGCTGTTTTTAACTGTTTTGATACTTGCTTGTAATATTTAAGTCAATCGTATTTAAACACTTATGTAATGCGGCAGATCAATTCAGGGTCCTTCGGGGACCCTGCTTTTCTGTATCGTACGGTCAGAATGAAATAAACCACTATTATTATTATTTCTTATAACAGTCTCAGTGTCAATGTTGGTGCTGTAATGTTGTAGATGTTGCGACGATTTCAACGATTTGTAAGGGATAGGTTATCAACGTTGACTGGGTGGTTCTGTTCCTTGTGCCTAATAATTTTTAGTTTCGACATCTGATCATTCTCTTGTCATTCTTAAGGCACTCAAACTTGCGTCGGAAGTTAAAGTGGTTAAAGATTGCTTTTGCGTTTTCCAGATTGCATTATCAAACTTAAATTTTAGTTGCAACATGGACATTGTGTTGTGTTCAACCTTACACAGCTTTAAATAAACATAAGCTTCCAAGAAATAGAAACCGTTTGGAAAGGATCCAAACGAAAACACATATTCTTACGAATATTTTTTGCTGCAGTCAAGTCAAGTTATGTACGACAACTGTAACAGGTATAATGTTAGACAAAACATTGTATAAGACTACCAGCTAATTACATCAAGCCAAGAGTACAATCTACACATAATTTAAGTCATACACTAGAGAAGTAACATTTACAAAGTAAATGCATAATGTTTACCTTCGGACATGGTCTGCCCTGTTAATTCTTATGCAAACACATTCACATACATGTGCTACTAGTATTTACTGACAGGAGTAGAACAGACCATGAAATTGCAACATTATGTAACCCAACACCAGTCACCATGGTGACAGACGTCAACAAATCATGTCATTGTCCAGGTCAGAGGTTAGTGTTTGAAACAGAAGAGGAGGAAGAAACTGAGTAAAAACAATATGTTTTCCTTCGGTAAACATAAATATTGACAGAATGTGGTGGGTAAACATTCTTCCATATCTCATCCTCTCCAGATCACACAGTTGAAGATAGAACACAACCCGTTCGCGAAGGGCTTCCGAGGCGGGGACGATACAGAGTTCAGCCGGTCAGCGCGGAAAAGCATGTGAGTTTTCTAACATTCTGTTTGAATCTTGATTTTGTCTTGATAGAAAAATCTGTTTTCATGAGAAACTTTTAACTGTTCTCCATTTGAAAATGATTACTCTCCAACATTTTGGACCTCAGCCTTCGTCGGCCTTTCTGACCAGATTGCTACATGTGTGATCACGTGGTTTTGTTTACGCGTGACGTCAGCAATGGGTCAAAGGTTGCTGGGAAGTCGATAACGCCCCTCGTCACGGATGAGAGAAGTATGGTACTAATGTAAATGACCTCCTTCACTCCCCCACAAAGTAATTTGCTACGTAATCTGTTTTTGTTGTGATTTTATTGAAAGCAAGCAAATGACAAATTTATTGAGTATTCCCATTTGAACCGACAACTGTGTGTAGATATAAAAAAAAACTTCTATAGGACAGTATCACACAGACTAGAATCACCAAACTGACCTATAGATGACCTCTGGGCTTTGTTCAAGGACAATTCTAATAGAGTGTTATGAACATTTATGTCGATAAGGGTCATTTAAGATCCTCAATACCGAAACAGTCTAGAGTCAATTACATTTATATAGTCCCGATCCTTGTTTAACATCCTTTTATCCATTTAAGTTTATGTTCTGACGAAATACAACATTCTGTCACTATTTAGGATTGTAGCAGAACAGGCTAAGACAGTATTCTGGGTAGACAAAGGATTTGTTGTAATTCTTGAACTTTCGCGGAGAGTCGTGGTACTGTATCAGTCATTAATTCTCCGAATACCTTCCACCAAGTTCAATTGTTCATCCATTGTGCGATACCGTCATTGTCGAGTGCACATAGTACCCATATATCTGTCACTTCGTAATACGGTGGTTAGACTTAGGAAGGAAGAAGGGAGTTACTATCGTTTATATCATGAGTCTGTCATACATAGCCGAAGATGGATTCCCAAACACTGCCGAACTATGGTTGGGAGTAGGTCGGGAGCAAGGTCGGCTGGTGTTTGGCGAGGTTGGGTACTGTTCGCCTGCGCCAGCCGAATGTTTTTAAAATGTTTAAAATATTCTGGAGTGGACAGGAGGTTGGTCCGTGGTTGGGGAGTAGGTCATCGGGGCCTAGTTCGCATTCAAATTTGATCGTGAAAACTTGTGCCCCCAATGCGCTCTATTACTATTTTCTTGTCTTTTTCTATGTGCACCAATTGTCTGTTTTTTCTATACCAAATGTTTCTTCTGTCCCTGCAATTAACCCTCGGGCATGAATTTGCAATCAAAACATTCTATTATTCTTTTACTCAGCAACTACCCAGTTATACCCAGGAGCAACCCCGTACAAGCGTCCTTACTACCTCGGGGCAGGCCGAACAACAACTACGCCTGCTCCAGTAACATGGCGGACACCTGTCCGTCCCTGTCCGCCAACCACTACCAGCAGACGACAGCCGGGTACAACACCGTGCCGCTAGGCTCGGCTATCCAGATGACCGCACAGGAAAACAGTACAGGTAAAACATGGCGTTTCTTCATAAGAAATAAACTGTTCTCCAACGTACTTAAAAGAATTTGACTCACCGGAATTTTGGACCGAATCTCTCGATCTTTTTTCTCTCTCTCTCTTGTTTTCCGTACGTGTGACTTCAGCTAGCACTGGGCCAAAGTTCGTCGGAAGTCGGTACCGCCCCTCGTCCCGGTTAAAAGGCAACATTTCTTGTGAAGAAGCTGTAGAAATTGCATTTGCCGCCGGGGGATGGCGAAAAAGGCATTTTATTAGAAAGTGCGAAATTGATAACTAGGAGCAAGGATTATGAGCTAGGATTTGTACTCTAAATAATAAAAACATTTCTCACATTCCCATTATTTTCATGTTTATCAGTAACATATGTTCCAATGTATGTCTGTTTTTTTCTTTTTATTGTTTGATGGCGGTGCTGGTGCTTGAGTGTGCCGCCACTTTGTTTTGTGTTCTATCAATAAAAAATGATAACGCCTAAAAACTTTTTATTGTAGACAAAGAGTCGACATTCAAAGACAAAAAAATAAGTTGTTGTCAGGAAATATATCAGCGTATTTGTCAAGTGGGGGAAATTATGACCGTCTAAACATTTCAAAATTGATATACTGGCAAGATGTAAACAAAGCATATTTGTTGAATTCGTACAACGTACGGTAGTGTACAAGTATTTGACGTAACTAAATGTGTACGACTACAAGCGCTTGAAAATGTCACGAACAAAGTAAAAGTAACCTGGCATGATACTAGGAAGCGTAGAATAATTGTGAAGACAAACCTTTTCTTGACTTGCTGTTGACAACTCAGCTGAGAACTTCGTCCGAACGGCGACACATTTTTAGCAAACTACCCGCTTTCCCGAAAAAGTACACCTCTAGCAGGAGAGCCCGCGAATTTGTCAGTATTTTTCACATTAATTGCGCTCCTTAGTTTGCAGAATTTATGGATATAACGTCTTCTATACAAACTTTTGTGGAGCTGTCGAAGAATTTTCTCTTTGGTGGTTGCTGACAGGAATGTCGTCTGCTACACACTTGACCAATCAGCTCGCGAGATTAATACGGACTGATCTATTTCCATTTCTAGGGGTGGTATGATAACTATAAACTTTCCCTCTATTATACAATATAAGAATTCTGTGATTTATTCCGTACAGGTTGTATGCAGAACTCTTTCAGCGGAAATACAGACCTCGGCCCTCTCCCCAAGCGAGCTTGTCGGGAGGAAGACCGCTTGCTGTCGGACAACTCTGCCCCAACCTCCACCCTCACGACTTGGTCGAACCCACAGATACTTCCAAATATGGAGAACCTCCAGCCGTTGAACAGGGAAACGTGTATGTTTGCTAACTCAACCGGTGGTGATACTTCTCTTCTTGCTGCCCCACAGCCTTTGGATCCTCTATCCACGGCTTTCAACAACAACCAGAACTTTTCCGTGCCGTTTTCTTCGTCTGGCGGCACGGGTTTTGTGTCAAACACGGGCATGAATTTCCTTCCATCCTGTAGCTACGCACAGATGCCACAGCAAGGTCTGGGGATGAACGGCACTCCGTTTTTACACGAAGTTTCTAGAAACGTCGGTTGTCCCTCCATGCAAATTCCACAATAACTCATACACAGTTAGGCCATGTTGATTTGATTATATGGATGACGTCCACGCGCGCATGAATTTTTGGCCGTTTCCAAAAAAAAAAAGAAGTTTTCAACCATACTGTAAATCGTACAAAACAGTTGCAAAATGAGTAAATATATACCTTAAGTTGCAAAAAAACAACAACATTGGAAAACAGTACCAATATCGTAGAATGCCAAAATCAAACGAAAAAGACGAAAATGTAAAGAAATGAATTTGAAGAGTAGATTATTCGTCATACCATACTGTGTCATTTATTCCTTCATATATAACCATGTACATTTCATAATGAAAGCAACTTTTTTTTCGGCCAAACTTTTTTTTATTTGCATGCTCGCATCAGTTTTGGGGTTTCCAGAGGATGTCAACCATATAATCAAATCAACATGGCCTTAATATCAAATTCGACAAAAAACACACTGTATATTGTTAGTACAGGTGATTTTAATAATTCAACAGCTTTTCTTTTAAAATATTCTACAGACTACAGAAATAATATGGAAAGTTGTTCAGATTTCTTCACTGAAATCTTTTCATACTAAAATATTGTCGATACATGTATTTGTCAATATTTGTATGGTGGATATGAAGTGTCATAACTTCTCATACAATATAACACAACTGACAGTGAAATAAAAGTAAAGAAATTAATGTTTTGATAAGGATAAAGCATAATGCTCTGGATGGAAGCATACAAACAAAGATGTAGATATTCATATTATCAACATTCATGCAAACACTGCTCTACGTTTTTGCAGAAAAAGGCTGGAGTAGTAAAAAAAAAACGAAATTCAAAGACAGACTAGATTAGAAAAATATTGTGCAAGTACGTTGGAAGAAACACTGTGTTTTGGGGAAATTGTTATAGTATAGGAAAAAAATTGCAACAACAATGTACAATACCTTCACCCCATACTCAGTAGCGATTCTTTTACGAAATATAGTATTGTTGATATCATCATTACAAAGTGATAGCAATGACAGTCAAATCTGCACTACTGTTCTCTGTGTGCAAATTAATACTGTAAATTAAAAAGCTTGCTATGTGCCCTTAAGAATTTGTTCAATGTGTTTTCATGCACATAGTAGTTATTTCATAACTCTGAAATGTTGATCATAAAGAATAAACTAGTGCTATCTTCAATGCTGTCTAAGGGTGTGTATTTTTGGGTCTACCATCAAATATTGTAGCTCTTAAGTATATTCTTATATATAAGTACTTCTTACAGAAGACTAAAGTCTTGCTCTGCTCAGTTGTGGTCCTTATTCTGTGAGTTTAAGATGTGGACAGTGCCAGAGGGCCTTGTAGTAAAGCCATCCCTGAAAAAAAGGAAAAGCAGTTGAGGACAATTACCATACACACATAGATCCAATACCTTCAGAAAGTAGCGAAATATTCTTGTGTTTGGGGTATGTAAATTTGTTTCACTACACATTTGGACAGAAATATTACAGGAAATAATACTAGTATTTGGTAAAAGAGTCATATCACTTATTTATTTGCAGTTAGCCTTACATTAGTACCACAGCTAATTTTGAGGAAGGACATACAGATAAACATGAAAATGAAGGACATAAACATTGAAAATACAACTAACAAAACAATGAAAAACGTTTGGACTGTATTCTTTACTTCAGTGATATCTTATCATTGGCTTCTTGTATATGATCTTCAAAATGTTGTTGACTTCAAGCTTAATGTACATACCTTAGTTGTAGGCTTTCCATTGCCCAGGGAAATGATGTTGAAGCCCAGAATGGTTTTATCTGTTGAAGACTTTGTCTTACACCCAGCACACACCACAGGGACGTACAAGCACTGGTCCTCCTCACTCAGAAAACTGTTTACATGTGGTCCTACAGAATAAGAAGGAACAAAAAAATCAAATATTTCAGACTTCCAGGAAGAATTTTAGCATTTTCAAGTTAGACTTTCAAGTTCAGAGACTTGTTTGAGTTTTCATGAAGGTATTGGTATTGGAGGGACTGGTGTGATGTAATTTAATCAGGTAACTACTTCCTGAATTCCTCCATATACTACCCACTTACAGTACTCGTATTCTCACCCAACTTGCTGAGTCAACATCAGGCTTTACCTTCCTATCAATCATCTGTCAAAATCACCTCCCATCCACCATGCAACTGAAAAAGAGTAGTTCGGAGACAAACCTACAACTCACCACAAAAACAATACCCCTAAACTTGTGCCACCAGTGTACAAAATACTCTTTTGAACCAGGTTGCCCTGTACCTACAGCAAAAATTAGGTTTCCCCTCAGAATTTTAGGTTGCCCCAACTATAAGTTACTACTTTCAAATCAAGTAATGTTACATACATAAGCCTTAAGACAATATTTCTAACAGCCTTTAGTTAACTGATACTAGTAATAGCCATTAATACCTAAAATTAAAAAGCATCTGCCGGATACAGTGGTGCAAGCCAAGTGGGCATGATTTTGGTGGGTGGGGGTATTCTTAAAATCCAGGTAGCACACTGGGCTACGTAGGTTCAAAAATAGGTTTCCCCAAGTAAAATTTGGTTGCCCGGGGCAACTGGGCAACCAGGTACTTTGCACGCTGGGCCCACCCAAAACAATACATCCATCCTAGACGTGATTAAAGCTATTATCATACGAACCTTTGGCTGACTTCTGTGGTGACATGGGCTGGACTTTCCCTTCCAGTCTTGCCCTGTCTATCAGGACCATCCCTTCATGTGTAGGGTGGGACCTTCCCTCCTTCATCAGCGGAGCATTACACTGGCACTTCATTCCTTCACTCTGTCTCCTCCTCAGGTTAGAAAGAGTCCTGGATTCTTGTTGGATGTAGGTAGATGTTTCTTTTTCTACATGGATATCTGAGGAAAATGAAGATGTAGCATTGGATTTAGAAGGTCTCCGTGTACTTTTTTTTTGACATCTCAAAGCACTGTGTAGAGATGTCCGTTAAAAGAGTAAAATGATATTTACTTTGATATGTACAAAAACATGTACACTAAGGGCAGCCCTCCAGACCGCTCCATTTAGGATCAGTATCCAACACTCCCATCAAAACTTCAATACACTATAATGCTTAAGAATCACATCGCGACTGTACATTTTCTTGCTTGTTCTATGATCATGATACTAGTACTTTCATGCATGTTGCTATGTAAAAAAAACATCATATTTGTGCGATGTTCTGCAAATTAATGTTTGATAGAATGATTTACTTTCATAGTGGTGCACATGGATATTTGCTAGCTTAACAATAATCTCCTTCCCTGGAGGTAACTAGTTGTTCTACAGAATGATTGTAAAAGCTACAGAATGGTTACCTTCTACAGAGCTGACCAGTTCTGTACCACACATGGTACAGTGGAGTCCAGGTCTGCATGGACCCTGAGCCTGCTTCCCTCCCTACACATGGAATAGAAACACAGGAAAATGGGAAGATTTTGAAAATGCCAGAGTTCCAAAATTGAAACCTACTAGTATCCAGGTGCTGGAGTAACTGTTACTAACATTCTAGATGTTTCCTGAAATATAAACTATAATCACTTCTTTCTCTGATTCAAGGCTACCCATACTGTTGAGTGCCGTCTAAGACTCTAAATTTCTGATAAAAGAAATAATTAAAATTTTGCAAGTTGTCATGCTGACCTTGCTCTGAGTCGTCAAGTCATCAAGGAAGTCCCCGGTGTAGTCTTCTGACAGGACAGGACAGTTGGCCTTTCTTCTGGATCTGAAGGAGCGACGGATCTTCAGTGCTGAGGAGAGAAAACAAAGTTACTGAAACAACAAGAAACCAGAAATATAAGATTTGCAAAGCAAATACATAATATTTATTCTCACTTAATCATATCCAGCACACTCCAAAGTCCTGCCACTTGCTACATAATAGTAATAACTAAAAAAGGAATAGTTTCAACAGAATGAAAACTAAGTTACCTGGTTGACTTTCCTCTAGGACTTGTCCCTCATTTTCGTCTTGCGATGTCTTAAAAAGTTTCTTCTTGTTGGACTGCTTTCCTGCCGCTGGTTTCTTCTCACTCCCAGAATTCCTTCTCTTCTCAGTGGACTTCTTTGCACTGGAGCTGAGCTGTCTCTTCCTCCGTCTCGTAGATGATAGTGGCGGGTTATCTTCTTTACATTCATTTTCATCGTTGTCGTTCAAGCTTCCTTTTTGTGGGAGGGCATTCTCGACGATAGACTCTGAGGTGTTTTGCTCAGTGGTAGGTTCTGAGTCAAACAGAGGAGGTGTGAAGTCCATGTCAGCTGCAGATGTTTCCTGTAACGGTGGAGTTGACATTCCGCTTCTCAGCTCTACTGTGCTGCCACTATGGACAGGTGTCGTCAAGGGGCCGATGTTAACGAACTTAAAGAGAGAGTTGACTTTTGCATCACTCGGTCCAGATGATTGGTTTGCTCCGTCTTGGAAGGAATGATTGAGACTGTCCTTCGTTTCGCTTTGGTCTTGTGGGTTTTCTTCCTTTTCTTTCTTGCAAGATTTGGTCAACAGTCCTGCAATCTCAGCATCCTCTGTCGCTGCGTTGCTGTCCTCTTTGGACTTGTAGGCAAACTGTGCTAACTTGGAAGCCATGGAAAACCTTTTAGAACCATGACCATTGCTCTCAACTTCACCTTTAGCTGACCTTTGCCCTTGGTTCATTACATTTTCCTTAGTGTCTGTAGGACCGTTGTCCTCTTCAAATGTCAGCCTACCTTTCGGCGTTGGTATAGCACCTAATGTCCTCTTGTCACACCTGTTGATGTCACCTCCGGGGGTCATGAACCCATCACCTTTCACCTCTGAACTTTCACCCTTGACCTGATGAGCCACCCCCATGCTCGCCTCAGGCACTGAATCAGTGACAGCTTTCTGCTGCACATTCTTCTTGAATAGAGCCTTCAGCTTTCCTTTGGAGATTGACGAAGCCTTTCTATCACTAAGTGACACATCTTGCGAGATGTTTTTTTCTTGATCTCCTGGATCAGTGACATTGCTAGGAGTACTGGGGATGAATCCTTGGGGTTCATACTTGTTGACTGCCGGAGTTGTGTCCCCTTGCCTCTTGGTTTGGTCCAGTACGGGAGATTGCCCCATCAGGTGCTGAAAAGCGTTCAGTTTTGCAGGCTGTGGATACATACTGCTTGGGTCTGGTGTGGAGACACTGGTGTCCAGAAAGGAGTGATGGGAGGGATGGGGAGACGCCTGTGGGGTCATCCCGGTCGGCATGGCAACACTAGAGAAACAAACAAACAAACACAGGATGACTGTCTCACCTTAAACATGTTGGGATATAAACAGGTAAGCACTTTTCTTCACACAAACTTATTACATTCAGTGGAATTTGAACATAAATCTACAGTGTACTCCAACTTACTGAAAGTTTTCCCTATAAATTACAAAATGTCTTTAGGGTCTGGCTCAAGCATATGTGTGTGTGTGCATAAAGTAAAGAACTGTTTGACATTTTAGGTACAATGTGAGTGAAGGGGTTCAAACCTATCATCAAGAGAGGTGGCACTTCCTTCTGTCATCTGTGTGGAGAATTCTGTCAGGGAGGACACCACACTTCCAAATGCATTAAAGTGCTGTACCCTCTGTCTCACCCACTTAGACAGGCCTGCAACAGTAAAGAATGTGAATGATTCACATGTATGCAAATACTACAAATACTACATTATGCAACAAGTTTAAACTGTAAGGCCACACCAAGTAAATTTTATGGATGACGTCCGCGCGCGCATTGATTTTGGCCTGTTCCTAGAAAAAAAACAAGAAATTCCGCTTCCTGTAACTATGACAAAAGAGTCACGACAGTGCCGCAAATAGCTTTGTACGGACCAAAGCTTATGAAGCATCAAGCAAGGAAATCATGACTTCCATTAGGAATTCAGTTTGGTACATGCTGCCAAATTTGAAGAAACTTGCTGACCGCTCCATCTATCTCCCCAAACTCACAGGACGACAACTGCTGTTCCACCTGATTTATTGCTGTTTTGATGATGAATAAAAGATTTCTTGCTTGTTACACTGTGTCACCTCATTCAATTGGTGTCCTAACATTTGTCGTCTCTTAGTATATTTCTAATCTAGGCATCTTGTTTTTTAGGGCCCTTCTTGTTTTTTTTTCGCCCTCTCGCATTAGATTTAGGGTCTCCAAAGGACGTCATCCATAAAATTTACTTGGTGTGGCCTAATTTCCAACACAAGAAATTGGACTCACCCAAATTTTCGACTGTACAACTCCAGTCTTTGTCAAGGAATGAGCAATCCACCGCTTCCGTGACGTCACGCAGATAACACACGTGACTCCGTTAGCAGTGGATCATACATGTAGGTTGCAGAAAGTCTGTGGCACCCCCCGTCTCTGTTGAGGGATGGTTGTAATGCCCTGATGTAGATGGCCTCTTAAATCCCTCTGCAACCTATGATCCACTGCTCACGGAGTCACGTGTGTTATCTGCGTGACGTCACGGAAGCGGTGGATTGTTCATTCCTTGACAGTTTTTAATACTGGAGTTGTACAGTCGAAAATTTGGGTGAGTCCAATTTCTTGTGTGGGAAATTACAGTTTAAACTTGCTGCAAAATGACTTCTACCAACACAGATGAACTTTCAAGATAACAAATACTAGTGGTACAACAAATCTTCCTGTTATACGTGTATTGTAACTGGTGGCAATGTAGTCTTTCAGAATACAAGTACGAATTTCACATGTATGTATGGCAGTTTATGAATTGTGAATGTTGTCTACCTTTTGTGTATCTTCCTTGTCCTCTGGAAAACCTGTCGTCCACAAGAATCAAGGCTCCCCAGTCTTGTCTGGAAGACACAAATAGAATAATGAATGGTATAAAATTATGTCATATGTAACCATAATCAACAATGGACTAACTGTATGTAAGATTTCAGTCTCTCATGATAAATTTACCTCAAATATATGTTAATAGTTTGATTCCAGTCTGTTTTTAAATGTTACTGTAATCAATTTGTTTCTTACAAAATGTTCAAATTTTCTAGTGTACTCAATCAAACTCGACACTGATTACCGCCTTGAAATGGGAAGTATTGCTTTTGGGGTGTCTGTCTGTTTGTCCATGTGTATTTTTCCACACTTTTTCCCCACATACTAAGAACATCAGGGACACTTAAAGGAAGTTAGGGAAAACGTATCAAAATATTACCTAAGGGAAGCAAGTGGGAAAATGCATGGGCAGTATTAGTGAAAATTGATAACAATGAACAAAACAAGAAATTTTGCTAAAACTCTTGAAAGTTGTTTGCTCATAACTCTAGATCTGCATCTGTATATGTATAGCCAGCATAACCACCCTTTGAGGTAACACACCATCTTCACAAGCACCCGGTAGAGCGGCAGCTGGTTACATTACACCAAACAACCTTTCATACCTAAACTTTGCACATCTAACTTTAAACATTGTGTAAAGCTATCTAGTGATGATGCCCCTACTGTACTTGTTGAAGTGAGTTCCACTCTAGGGAAAAGCACGTTCTGCCTTACTTGTGGCGTATGCAGCGTCCCAGTGCCTGGTTGAGAGCCCTGTAGGCCTGGATCTCGTACCACTGTCTGCCTGTCAGCAGGCCACGTGCACCGCTGTGCTGGTTGTTGTAGTTTTGCTTCAGCTCAACCTGCGTGGTACAACAACATCCTGACAGGTCAGGAATGTTCAAGTGCCCCTTATGAAGATGAAGGATCATTTGCAGCCATACAAGCCTTGACCCGATTTAAATTTACACGTAGTCAAAAACCTGACGGAAAGAAAACTGAAGGTCTCCCGTGCTATTATGCAGAGCGTAGGGTGATGCCCATATCCATTTCTGTAGCCCTTGGGCGACACACAGTTGTGCAATGCACTACAGCAGGGGGTTGGTCCGCTGGTAGTGCTGTGTGTTTGACCTTCCCACACTCTTTCTCATATGTGCTGAGTGCTAAGCAGAGAAAGAAGTGTGTACCATTTTTAAAGTCTTTGGTATGACCGGGGTTTGAACTCACGACCTCCTGGTTACAAAGCGAGCACTCTACCAACTGAGCTATTGCACCGGTATACATGTATATTGAACGAAAACTGCATTCATCAAATTTTTCCTAGGTGTAAATCGCGTTGCTTTGACGTGCATCAAGCGTGTACATTCAGATTGTACAGCAGCCCTAGTTCTTGACGTATGTCAAAGCAGGGCGAGTTACACGCAGGAAAAATTTCATATGTGCAGTTTTTGTACGCTCGTGTCCATATATATGCAGTTTTACGTACTGTAAGACTTTTCACAGTCATTTCACAAATGTTTGTCATCAGAAAGTTGAAGCAAAATGCCTTGGAAAAAAATGTGTCAACGTTTCCCATAGACACAAGCATTAAAAATCCTGTCCATAGTTACCACCTGTCCACATAGACTAAATTTTGTCAGTCAACTGGATGGTCTTTTCCTGCATTTTGACTGTACATGTACATGTAGAGAAGCTATGTACCTATTAATATATATCACCAAAATATATAAGAAATGTTACACCAAACCTGAAGGTCCTTGAAGTTTGGGTAGGGGATGCCAACCTGGAGTAAACAACAAAATTGAAATGGTTTAACAGTTAGCTTTGTACATGCATGCATAATTGTTCAAAAACTGCCACCTATCAGTACTTGGAAGAACTGCAGCTCCCACAAGCTTCTTTGCGATAACACACCACAGGCTCTGACACACAAAGGCAAAGACATTTCCCCTGCTTACCGTGATGACAGCTCTGGCGTTGTTGTCGGCGAAGTCCAGCCCCTCGCTGACTTTCCCACGGCACACTGCCAGGAACAGGGCGCCGCCGTGTCCGCCACCGTTCTCTGAGGATTTATAGACAAAGTAGGAACGTCAGGAAACAACGCCTCAAGTACAAACATGTAGTATTGTGACAGTGGAAGCTACAAATGTCAACAGAATCTACTGTATGAGTAGAAAGTTTTTCAGAGACTGCTGCACGATGTGTAAAATGTCACACAAACTTGCAGGCTTACTAACTGAACAGTGCATGGCTTAGACACAGAAACCACCATCAGTTACATGACAGCACTGCGCTCACGTTTTAACCTTTAGCACATTGAAGGTGTGCTAAAAGGTTGACAATTCTAAATTGGTTATGGAGTTACACAACAGGACTATTGTGCAATGAAAGATCATATTTGGATAATTCTAGTCGATATAAAATGTATGTTTTAAAAGATGACACCTCGTTCTTCTACATTTGTATCTGGAAAGTTGTAATGTCATCACCTGTGTCCTCACTACACTTGATGGCATCATAGAACTGCCTGAGGATGTCATCAAAGTCAGCCTTGTCTCCACCTTGTGGTTCCCTGATGACCTGTTTGTGCTCTTCTATCTGTTCCCACAGTCTGGTCATCTGTACACATCACAAACACAATGTTTTTCAACAGACTGTCAAGAAGTATTTTTGGGTTTTAGTGACCTTCAAGTTCACCCCACTTCCTGTGTCTGACCTTTTGACCTCTGGTCATTTTGCTGAACTGAACTTACTCTACTATTTTTTATGTGTTGCTTTTACATAGTCTCTTACAAATCGTGCGTGAGCGGGGTTTGAACCCCTGACCTCTGGATCTACATACCTGCCACCTCTGACACAGCTTCCCCAGTAGCTTGTATGATGGAAGGAAACACAGGACTCCGTGGGATATGGTCTGGAGCACATGGAGAAACTCTCTTCATGAAACATGACTGCACGACTACAAAACTGCCAACTTTTCATTAACATTCAATCATTAAGAATCTAGTGCAACACAAGTAAGAGATCAGAGATTTCTGACATTTTGGATTTATGTGACCTGCAAGTTCACCCCATTTCCTGTGTCTGACCTTTTGACCTACAATTCTGCCTGTCAATCTAGATCTTTGCCATCAATGTGCTGTCAACCTACTAAGTCTACGACAAGCTGACACACAAACCTACAGCTCAGCCACCCAAAACAAAACTTCCATACCCAGAAGTAAAAAGCAAAATGTGTCCAAATCACAGGCTCCAAATCATGCATTTTGTTGTTTCCATTTTACTTAAAATGTTCTTAGTCTCATCTACACATGTTACATACCTGGCACACTTGCAGTACAAGCTGGCCCAGTTCATCCTGAAATTCATACGTCTGCAAAAGTTGGAAAAAAATGTGAGAATTTGAAAGACAAGGACGGGCTTCCTTCTCCCTTTTATTGAGGTGTAAAAGTGTAAAGATCTGAACAAAGTCGCAAATGGAGTGGTTTGCTTGCAGTACCTCAGTGTGTTGATAGGTGGCCATCAACTTCCTGCCCCGTGGACCAGCTCCTACAGTTCCTACCCAAACCTGAAAAAACAATAGAACTTAAAAGCACAAGTACAGAAAAGTGTTGCCTTGAACTACACAAAACATTTGTCCCAATATATGCTTGGCACAACAAAAACTAAAAGGACTGTACCTTAAATTCTGGAGCTTTTAAAACTAAGTCTTCTTTTATAATTCCTCATATTCTATATTGAAATGTCATCATTATCAAACATGTCATCACAAACATTTTGGAAACACTGCCACCTATTAGTACCAGAAAAAACTGCAGTTTGCACAAGCTTCTTTCATGATACTAGTGACACATCACATGTTACAGGAATGTGTAGCACCTGTTTTTGTTAGACGTGTAGCACCTGTTTTTTGTTACAGACATGTGTAGCAACTGTTTTTTTCGTTACAGACATGTGTAGCACCTGTTTTTTTTGGTACAGACATGTGTAGCACCTGTTTTTTTGGTACAGACTTGTGTAGCACCTGTTTTTTTGTTACAAACATGTGTAGCACCTGTTTTTGGTTACAGACATGTGTAGCACCTGTTTTTTTGTTACAAACATGTGTAGTACCTGTTTCTTGTTACAAACATGTGTAGCACCTGTTTTTTGTTAGACATGTGTAGCACCTGTTTTTGTTACAAACATGTGTAGTACCTGTTTCTTGTTACAAACATGTGTAGCACCTGTTTTTTGTTAGACACCTGTTTCCTTAGACATGTGTAGCACCTGTTTCTTGCCGACCACATGGTTGGCCTCCAGCTGGATAGGAAAGGGAACACCCAGCTCTGACTGGAAGGAGTCTATCGGTGACAGGGTTCCCGAGGACAGGACAATGGCTCGGCAGTTGGCAAGCTCACTGAAGGCCTGGAAAAAACAACAACAACAACATCAACCAAAATTACTTTCTGTTGTTCTCTCCATAAAAAGTTAAATGCTTGATGGTAGGACAGGTACATGTAGTTTCTGTGTTTTCACCATAAAAATAAAAACATTGTAAACGTTTCACAACTTTACAGTATACAGAGATGTATGTATCATGTATCCTTTACATTGTAGGTCTAATGCTACATGCCATAGAATATATAGAGTCACCTTATCCTATTGGTTCTAGCATTCCATATACTAGTACTCCTATTTCTAGCTTGTCTGGCTAATTACAGAGATGTAAGCAATGAAGTGACCTTACCACTGCAGGGTTGAGGCACCAGAAGTGCAGGTGGTGAGAGAAAGTCTTGTCCATCCCTCGCCCCTTCTTCATACGGACATACCCATTGGGCTGGAAGAGATGTCAAAAACATGTCAGCTTCCCATCCCATTTAACATACATGTATGATCACGAGGCCATGTGGCCTTACAGTGAGACCTGCTGCTTGCACTAATGTGTGAGCCATAATTAGTGCTGTAGAAGTGAATTCAAAGATGGCACTGTTACATGATGTATAAAAAAGCTTAAGGGTGGGAAGAATCTGTGTCTGTAACACATCCGAACGTCAGCAGAACGTACTGCGCCTGCACGAATCCTACATTTTCAGTTTTCATTGGATGTTTGGTCAATGTTGCATCAGAATTTTGCAGAATCTTTTTAGATGGGATGTTATCTAGAAATACATTGTACATGAATACGACCCTGAACGAGACTTTCAGCCGAAGTGCTATATATATGCACAATACATTACAGTTTTGTGCCGGAGGAAAAAACTAGGGGAAAGAGCGACTTACAAAGTGTTCTGGTCTGTTGGAGTATTCAACAGTTCTTTCAATCACCACTCTGGGAGGAAAGAAAGAAGGAATAAACTGGCTGCAGAAATCAAGAACTGGAAGGATGATTTGCAAGATTCAAAGTTCCCTAACATCAGAAGTGTATTTTTGTCCAAATGTCTTTCTTTCTGGAATAATGTCTATCATATTTGACTACACTAGTCAGGAACAGTTGTATTTCATTGTTATTGGTTTTGTGTCATCTTTAACAAGGGCTCGAAATTCATTTTTGGGAATAGCTGCACTGGTGCACCCAACCTAAAAAATTGGGTGCACAAAAATATTTTAGGTGCACCACCATATATAATCAAAATAAGATGTTAGTGGAATGTCAACAAAAACTATAATTATGTTTCATTTCAAGAAAAGTACTATAACAATGATTGTATTATTTTTTCTGACACTTGGATGTTAAGAATATGCTGTAACTACTATACATTAACATCTTTACATACGTTAAACATAAGAAAATATTTGGGTGCACTGGTGCACCAACGGAAAAAAATTGGGTGCACAGCTCTAATTTTGGGTGCACTAAGGTGCACATGTACCCAGTATTTCGAGTCCTGTTAACATACCTGTAGTCTTCAGCAAACTTCATGCCCTGTTTAAAGAGAAAGCCCAGGACAAAGAACATGCCCTTCAGCATCTGTGCCGAGGCAGACCCCAGCCACATCTGCTGCTGCTCCTGACCCTTCTTCTGTTCTGGTTTGTTCTCAGGGTCAGTCACTGCACTCAGATTTTTCTGAATTGAAAGTGAAAAAGATACTGTAAAATTAATTCCTGTAGTAAAACAATTGATAGTTAAGCAGTGAATGATACTTGAATGCCTAACAGTTTTCAAAATCTATCTACAAGTAGTTGCTTCACGAAATTAACTTCATTGTGTGTAAATTGATGTACAAATGTATCTCCATGAGCACTTTGTTTTTTGCTGTGTTTTTGTTTGCAATTCTGTACTACAGTAATGATGCAATTACAAATCATGATTTTTCACCTGTCACTCTATCTGTCCCACCAACATGCTGTCAAAATGTACTCAGACAAACACACCCACAGTTCAGCCACCCAAACCAATACTTCTATACCCAGAAGTAATAATAGGAGAATACCTTAATCCAAAAGTACGCAATATCGTGCAAATATTTTTAATTTGCAACTCTACTGTCAAAATTTGACTCCAAGATTGTGTAGCCGTTAACGTTTTAAAATATGATTGTACATCTTTGAACGCAATTCAGCTTTCTGCTCCAATGTTTGTGATTTTAGCAATAAACCATTTTGATTGATTGATTGATTGATTGATTGATTGATTGATTGATTGATTGAAAAGTCTCAGGTTTAAGCCCATGGAGTTGAGTACTGCCACCAGGGTTTATATTTCATACCATGATTACACAGTACACAACCTTGCCTTACCTTCAGCAGTCCAAAGGTGTCAGGGTTAATACCCATGGAGTTGAGTACTGCCACCATGTCCATCCCAGTCTGCACCTTAGTCTGACGTTCATAGTCACGATCCTTCAGCAGTGAGGAGCTGTCCTTGATCCACTTCTTAAAGCTGCCACACTGGATGTAAAAAAATTTTGTCTGACTTCAAATTTTTCACACAATCCCTGAAAATCTTTAAGAACGGTCTGCACAAATGCTTCTATCAGCAGCACACCAGCACTTGTTTGACAGGATTGTTTGTTTTTTAAGCTTAAGTGATTGTATTGGCTGGCTGCTGACAGAGGAAGCTGGGCTGCTTTGACTGCCTCATGCGTCACGAGACGCGGGAGCCCCTAAGTCTAAGTAAAGTAAGATTGTATATTGTAAATATGTTATTGATTTATATGTTGTTTTGTGACTGTCAACTATGTATATACATGTATGTATTGTCTGTATGTATGAATACCAGGAAGACTAGCGGTGGACCCCAGGGTCCACAATGGTTATTCTAATAAAGTTTCAAAGTTTCACAGGGACTTGATTTTGGGGTAGGAGGGTAAAAATGCTTTGATGAAGTTAATCGAAAATGATCGAAGAAAATGATATGAGAAAAAATATACATGTATGTTACTTGGTAACAGTACTAGAGTTATTGTTCCGAGCAGTTATGTAGACTTATCTTCAACTGAGTAGTAAAGAAAGGCCTCTTTGACTTACCACAATGTGGAGGGCTCTGTGGTCATCCATTTTCACATTGTGTAGTACTAACAGGGGACAAAAAAAGAATAACATCAATAATGTTTAATATGAACATCAAAACTAGTAACTGGGCTTTACAAGTTAACTAAGGGTATATAAACAATTGAAAACCTCTATGAAATATTCAAAGTTTTGGAATATCTTTGTTGTTTTCTATATCATAGTAATGTTCTCTCTGATACTGTCTATTCATAAGGCAACAGACATGCAGCATGAAGATGGGAAATGAGATATCCTTTTCTGGTACCATTGACCTAACTTTCATCATTGTCCATGACATTCCTAGCCTGTGGAAATAACTTTTAAACAGACACACCAAAAAACAAAACCAATGTATATAATAAAAGACAATACAGTATACCAAACACAATATAACAGGAAAGATACATCTACTAGCTACAGTTAACTTAGGCCACACCAATCTAATTTCTTGGTTAATGGATTTTTCTAGAAAAAATAATGGAGCGGGCGGGCAAAAAAAATAAAAATAAAAAACAGGCCTAGGCATCCTATTATGGCCCAAAATGGTACGATAGGAGCCATGAAGTCAACACACCAGACTGGTTCAAAATTTAAACAATGAATTTTGAACTTTTAATGATACCATTGCATTGAAAGCTGGAATAACTGTAACAACTAGGAAGAAAAGGACTGTTTTCAACTATTCAGGGCAAAATATGAGCATTTTGCAGTACGTTGATTCTGAATTTTTTATTTTTTTTGCAAATCAGAGAAAAATGAAGCAGGCGAACCCGTTAACCAAGAAATTAAGTTGGTGTGCTCTTACCCAAGTTTTCCAGTTCAGTCATGGTAGCATCCAGCTGGTCCTCTGTCATGGAGAAACTAGCAGCCTCTCGGGCGGAGTCTTCAATGTTGTGAGCCTCGTCCAGCACTATTATATTGTTCTTCAGGGAGATCTGCATCTGTTGAGAGAACAAATAATGTTGATGTCACTACCTAATCCTATGTACATGTAATAAACGACTCACTATCCCTATTGTTTTCAGTGGGTCCTTTAAAGTGAAAGTGATCTCGAACCAGTTTAGCTCATTGAAGAGCTAATCTTCCACTGGTCGTGACAGAGAAGACGGACACTATGTACAGTATTTACAGGTTCATTGTACTGGGGAAATTCCCCTAGCTCTTTTCGACAAGCACAATGAACAGTGGACCACAGCTTAACGTCCCGTCCTAAGGACTGCGACCCTAAACAGTAGCGTGCATGTCGGGTGAGCGACATCAGCTGGAATTCCAACTCCCAACCTCTTAGTCCAGAGGCAGGATCGCTAACCACTGGCATGGGCTACACACGCATTTGTGTGTTTGCTTGTGTTTCTGTTGTTACTGAACTGTATTTCCATATACTAGACATGATTGAATTACTGACAGAAAGTTAGTCCAAAAGTCCCAGAGTATTTTATCAAAGGTTATCTCATTTCCTGTCTTCAATTTCCTGCATGTCACTGTTGCCTTATGGGAGTAGTGGGAAGATGCATACTCAGAAAGAAATGTGCAATAAGTGAGAAATTGTAAAAAACTCTTGAGTTGTGACATCTTCAATTGCCTGTGTAATGCTTGCAGTTAGAGTTGCACAATTCAGTTTTCCCATGTACATGTACCTTGGTTGTGAAATACTGTTACAGTAGTTATTACATGACAAACACATGTTAGTCTAGTTGTTTAAAGTTTTAACTTTGACCATGAAACTACTAACACAGATGAACTTTAATGATCATTACTTTAGTTCTGTACTTGGTTTCAAAAAAATTTTGCATCATATGTCATAAATCTTTTTACCAAGAAACTTACATTTTCCCTGATGACAGGGTCGACCAGGTAGTTGTATGGACAGAAGACGATGTCAGCTTCTAACATCAGTTCACGGGCTGCATAGTAGGGACAGGACTGGAGAAATACAATGTCATATTTTTGTAAGTTACAAACTACTAACACCACTTAACATAATAGTTACCATAACAACCAACATGCACTAAACAAATAAAACAACTGTTAAAGCAAAAGAAGATGCCCGTTCCCACCTTTATCTTCTTGCCCAGTTTGACCAGTTCTTCTATGTCCCATGCATACAGCCCCTTGTACTGGATCTGGGCCTGGTTGGCCATCCTCACAACATTGTGGTGAAACGAACAAGCTTTCTGCAAGGAAAAAAAAAACAAGAAATTGGAAGTTTCAGGCTTCTGGGAAGTGTTGTAATTACACTGTATATAAATGCATTAATTGGAACTGTATCATAAGATCAAGAGGAAACATCAAATTGGATAACATTGTACAATTGATTACATCGTATTACAATTGTATCATGTAACTTATTCTAGTATTAGACCATGGTTCATATTTTCTCATAATTTGTTCCATGATTACACAGTACACATTCCTGCAAACCTTAGATTACATCCTACAACCCAAGGCATGCCAGATAACAACCCTGTCAATCAACAGAACTGAAACCTAATCTCCACCCACTCATTTCCAATCCTGCCTACTAAGGACGAGATACATACACACCCTCCACAAACCAGTGCTGCTCAAAACAATACTTCCAATCCCACAGGACAGAGACAAGTGGCGGGCTGCCATCAAGCCACAGTTGTGCAGTGCGACCACATCTAACCCTCGGAAGACGGGGAACAACAGACGATAAACTGGACAGTGAGCAGGGCTCGAAATACTTTTTTCAGCCAGGTGGCGCATGTTGCCACCTGAGTCAAAAGCCAGGTGGCGCCATCAGTATTCAAGTGGCAACACTTCTAAGTTATCATTTTCTTCAAATCTGCTACTTATATCTATTACGTTTTCTTCTAGTTAACTACTTAAGTTTTATGTTATAAAATAAAGTAATGTAAAGAAGACAAAAGCTCTCAAACAACAATGTTTTAATAAAGAATGCCACCTTTACATGTCTTCATCACAGGGCTGCCGCCGTGGGAATGCCACGCCTCTACATGGCGGCACACTTATGCGGGTGGTGTTATGTGCGCCATGTTCTTTGTTTGCGCAAGGATAATGTTACTCTCATCTGCCAAATAAACATACCCCCCGGACAAATATTCATAATCTAATAAAAAATGGTATTAGCTCCCTTGATTTAAAAAAAAATTGGGCATAGGTTCCCCGGATGACCCCTAACCGGGGGCCAACGGTGCTTCAACAAGTTCAACAAGTGAAAAATACATGATACAAAATGTACATGTATTTACTACCTGGAACTTGGAGCAATTTATTCCAAAGATGTTAACTGACATTTTAAATTAATATATTAAAAACTAAACCAAATCCTATTTCTCAAACAAATCACATATTGACACAGCTGAACAAATAAAAATGTGATCATGTTTATAAACTCCACTCAAAAACAATTTTTGAGAGACACTCGGGTCGCGGTGCTAAGCGTGATAATCTCTAATATCTCATCTGATTCTCCCAATATGTAAAGGGCCTTTACAATGACAGCATCCAACCGCACATACATAGAAACAACAATATTACACAAGAAACCAATAAATTCGGAAAATTTCTCAGTAATGTTTGAAAATTAACCTTAATAAAATATAAGTGAATTTTTATTTCAGTTGTAGCCGAAAAAAATATTTTTCATGCGTTTAAAGTATCGTTTTAGCACTGTAATATGTACTTATTACATGTATCTATACATTTGGATGCTATCTTGACCTTTGACCATTGTTATTGTGAAAACAGGTCGGCCATGTTGTCTTTCTCGCCGTCAATTTTCGAGCCGTTTTTTCGAGCAAATTTCAACCGTTTTTAACATTTTACGGCCTCAAAAACCCATATAACGAGGAAAACAAGTTGTAGTTGTTATTTTCATGCGTAACATTTCTTCTGGGGATGGATTATTTTTCCGTCGAGCTGCCGAAAACTTAGCGCCATGCCGCCACCATGCGGTCGGGAGCGGCCGGCCGGCGGGAGTTTTACTTTGTATCGGTGAGCTTTCGCGATGTAAACAAAGACAGTCGGAGTTGTTTACAGAAAATTTTGTTGTGAAACGCCAGCGGGGTGTCAGATTTTCTACCAATGACAACGTTTTCTTTGCGGCGTCATGGCGAGATCGACAATTCATCGTCAATTCACAGGATTGTGCCAACAATGGAAATTATGCCCGACCCGTGCAAAAAAATTAGCGCTCGATCCACGCCGCCCGACCGAAGAAAATTGTAATGACGAGCACATTTATCGGGGATAAAATCCCCAATTTTGAAAACCGACCGCTAGCCGCTCGAAATTTTTGGTCGGCCCAAAAAAGGCTAGGGTCGGGGGGGTTTTCATAGGGTCGGTCGGCTAACCGGAAACACAACTTTTTTTTTCCTAGGCCAAATTATAGGTGGCGCGCTGCGCCACCTGAGTTTAGGAATAAGTCGCGCCAAGCAAAATCAGGTGGCGCCGCGCCAGTGCGCCACCGGGTATTTCGAGCCCTGGTGAGTGTGAGTGAGTGTGAATGTGAGAAAAACTTGCGTACATGGTCCAGCAGCTCCCTACATCCATCGTTCTTGTTGCCCCGGATACTGGAGTTGATACAGGTGTGTTCTCGACTGGACAGGATCGTCATCCTATGACAAGGGAACAACACTCATACATGTAAATATACACCATATTAGACATGTTAGACACAAACACAACAACATATTAGACATAAAAATCATACAGGTATGATAAAAGCCTACCTGGTTCCCTTGTAAGCAGTCTTGCCCAGCTCCCGTGTAATCTGGGCTATCTGTTTGTGAGTCCTGGTACCAAAGAAAATCTTAGGGGCCCTGCAAAAATGACACAAAAAGTTAATGGATTTTCTACATACATCTACAAATTGTCTTCTTGTCACCCTCAAGTGAGGTGAACCATGATACTTTTTCAATAGCTAGGAGTGCATGCAGCTTTGCAATGACTCACGTATTTAGGGGTAGCTAATACAAGCAGGGCTCGAAATTCATTTTTGGGAATAGGTGCACTGGTGCACCCAACCTAAAAAATTAGGTGCACAGTACATTTAATATGTACAAAAATACCTACAAAAATATTTGCGTGCAACAGTGCACCCATAGAAAAAAATTGGGTGCACAGCTCCAATTTTGGGTGCACTAAGGTGCACATGCACCCAGTAATTCGAGCCCTGACAAGACATGAGTTAGGCAGGCCTATATCCTGGGCAGGTTCTAACGGTAGAGATCTCGATCAAGTCTTTGACTATGTCAACAGAGACTCTGATCAGGATGCTGTAATTGTGTCAGGGTGGTTTCATATCCTAAATTTCAAGTCAATCCATGATTGATCTAAAGTGACATGAATCGAAGTTGAAATATTCTGTCTGCCTCTTAAGCAAATGTCTTCAAATCTGCCAGAAGAGATCCCGATTGGAATTTCTGTTGACAGAGACAATCGAGATCTCTACCAGTAGAATCAACGATTGTACAGTACCAGATCGGAGTCTACTCTGATAAATGATGCAGTTGTACCTTTTCTTCCTCCTAGGTCTTTCTTCAGTTTCTTCTTTCCTCTCCTCCCCTTTATTCCCGCAGTTGCAAGTACAGGGCACCTGATTGGTCGAGGTGTTGTTGGTAAGTTCCATCTTCCACTGTGCAGGGGTGGGAGGGGTGTTGGGAGTCGCTCCATCATCCTCATACACAATTCCTCTCACTCGGCTGGACTGCTTTGTTATACAATAAACAAACAAACAAATAAGCAAAAATACAGCAAGAGAAATCAGTAAAATAGGCTTAAATCAACTCATACCTAAATATTCAGAATGTATTATTTGCAAAGGAAATGCATAATGTTTACCTTCACATGATCTTCTCTAAGAAACTACTGCTCTATTTATTCTTAATATTCAAACACAATCATACGTAAAGGTGAACAGCTTCTCTAACTCTGTCCTGCAACTTGCTACATAATGTAACCCAACACCACAAGGTGTCTGCTACAGCACCAGTCACCATGGTGACAGACGTCTGGTCCAGGTCATTGACCTTATGTGTTTGGAGAAGAAGAATGAAGAAGAAACAGAGCAAAAACGTTATGTTTTCCTACTTAACATAAACATAACAAACCTCATTCCTGTAAATAACCGTATTAGACATTAAACACCTGGAACAGGTGAAACCAGATCATTATTCACTCTTCCCACCTGCATGCCCCCTCCAGGTGTTCTGAACTTCTTCTTGGCAGGCTGGAAGTCATCTTCATTTGGACTTATGGATGGCCTGGCACCAGCTGTACCTAGAATCAGATTTTCAGAATATGTCCCAAAACTTTGGCAATGATGTTCACAATACAGTTCATAATACAATTCTTTAATGATAAACAATTGATAAAACTTAAACGTATATAATAACATGGATAAACTGTAGCAGAAAAATATATAAATCTGAGAGTCCAAGTCAATCAATAATGTATTATGTTTAAAACAACAACATACTGCTGACAATTTCAGGCATCATAATTGTAATACATACTATCAGAATTTTAGCTTTCCTCAAATTAAGTAATGTTACATACATAAGCCTTTGACAATATTTCTAACAGCCTTTAGTTAACTGATACTAGTAATAGCCATTAATACCTAGAATTAAAAAGCATCTGCAGGATACAGTGGTGTAAGCCGAGTGGGCATGATTTGGGGGGGGGGCATTCTTAAAATTCTGGTAGCACACTGGGCTACCTAGGTTCAAAAATAGGTTGCCCCAAGTAAAATTTGGTTGCCCGGGCAACTGAGCAACCAGGTATTACGCTGCAAAATGCACAACTTTTGGTAAATTCATTATTGTTAAAGATATTAAGAACACCCAATCATGATATAAAGTCGTGCTCACATGTATAGTCATGGTCCAACTGAACAGGTGACTGGACTACAGCTGGTGGGTCAGAGACAGTAGGGAAGTACTTGGATGTAGACTGTTCCTCTGTAAGATATAATTCAAAACTTGTTTCTTATCTGGTAAATAAAGAAGAGAACTGGCAAGGTATCACATTGCAATCAATCAAGGTAAAATTAGTTCTTAGTTCTTTATATTGCAAAAAAACTTAGATTATGGTGCAATGAAGCAGTCCAGATTATTTATCTTACGTGTTTGCAGAAGAAGATGAAACAGCAAAAACGTGATTCCTGGTGTGTACTAGAATGTAATTTTTTTAAAAAGTAAACTACATGGGATATGTGGCATAATGCACCTGGATTGTTGCTTGCCCCAGTCTGAAGCCCACTATGACAGGAGCACCCACAGTGTTCTTCCTCTGTAAAAATTAAGACACAATCAACAACGGTAACCAGTGTTCGAAATACTTTTTTAAGCCAGGGCAAAAACTAGGTAGCGCATCAGAATTTTAAGTAGCCCCCTTGATTTCGCGGATTTACCTTTAGGATAACTTCTTAATCTCATTTTATCTATTTAGTAAACCTTAATAATATTATATAACAATACAACAATAAAACAAACACAGACCTTGATACATATCAAATTTTAACCCTTACCACAAGACCACCTTGAACGGGAGTGCATTACTAAGCCATTAACTTACATGCTGTATGACTTGTTTCTAACAGGGTCTTCCCATAACAGTGTAACAGACATTTCTTTACCTTTCTTGCCACAAGTCTCCTCCTCTTCCTCCTCTAGCCTCAGTTTTTCTACAAGGTAAAAATATGATTGTTATAATTTTCCTAGTCTGTTATTTTTCACATGACTGCCAGAATGTATAGAATAGAATGTATAATTTACGTTAAGGATGAAATCTCGTCTGTAGTTTTCATATGCTATGTCAGAAAACATATCTGCAATGGGCAAAATTCTGATGCAATGTTGAGCAAATATCTAAAAATCCAGGTTTTGCTCAGGTTCTACTGAGGTGCTATCATAAGGCCACACCAATTTAATTTTTTGGTTCTTGGATTTGCCTCTTCATTTTTTTCTGATTTGCAAAAAAAGATCTAGTTCTGAATCAACTAAAAAAACTCATATTTTGCCCCCAACAGTTGAAGAAAGTCTTTTTCTTCCTAGTTGTTACAGTTTTTCCATCTATCAATGCAATGGTTTGATTAAAAGTTCAAAATTCATTGTTTAAATATTAACCCAGCTTTTTGTATTAACTTCATGGCTCCTATGGTAGCATTTGGGCTATAATAGGATGCATAGACCTGTTTTCAGTTTTTTCGCCCTGTCACTTCAAATTTTTTATTAAAAAATCCGAGAACCAACAAATTAAATTGGTGTGGCCTAAAGCTAGTAAGTTTGACATACCGTATTCAGCAGCTTGCCAGGCCAGACAGGAGCAGAGTAGAGCCAGACTTTTTCCACTCCCTGTCGGACTCTCCAGGAGGCAGTTCTGTTCCCGTTCCAATCCTTGTAAAATCTAAAACATTGTTTTTGTTCAAAATTATTCAAAACTGTAAGAGAGTGTGTGTTCTTGAACTGCAAACGACAAACACATTAAAACCTCCTTTTCCCTCCAACCATGAAACAAAACGAAACTAGAGAAGTAAGTTACTGTAACATTTGCAAAGCATGGTCTGCTCTGTTAATTCTTACTCAAACACATTCACATACATGGTGACAGGAGCATAGCAGACCATGAAATTGCAACATTATGTAACCCAACACAAGTCACTGTGTTGACAGATGTCAACAAATCATGTCATTAGTCAGGTCAGAGGTCACTGCTTGGAGAAGAAGAAGAGGAAGAAACTGAGCAAAAACAATATGTAAACATAACAAAAAGTCTAGCAAAATACATACCTTAGCCATCATGGCTATCTGTGTTGGGTAGGCATTGCAGGGAAACTGTACATTTACACCACTGATGGTGTACTTCCTCCCAGGGCTATCCATTCTAGACTGGAAACAGATACATGTATTAAGAACAAAGTCTCACACTTGCAGGCATGACTATCTATTGTTCAACAATAAACAGTCATGCCTTCAAGCTAGTGCCAGAGTTATCATCCAAGAATTGAGGTTTCAAAAACTCGTATATAATATATAAAGTATATAGTATATAAAATATCGTAGAGTGGAACTCCCTGCTACCAAGTGCAAGTAGGGGCATCACTTGACAGCTTTAAACCTTTACAGTTAGATGTGCAAAGGTTAGGTGTTATATAATTATGAAGGTTTTATATTGCCAGGTATTATATAATTATGAAGGTTTTATATTGCCAGCTACCACCAGGCTGTGTGCCTGCGAAGATGGTGTGTTACGCTGAAGGGCTGTTACAATGTATATAGTCACAGAAGCTGGTGTTTCACTGAAGGAATAGCAGTTATACATCTATCAATCTCACAAAGTTTAACATGAAATCGGAGATTTGTGACTTCTTGGAAGTATGCAATCCACGGCTTCCTGAATTCCCCCATGCCGACCACTAACCCTTGCTGGGTGCTAACCAGATTCCAAGACTTTCATGATGACATTCACTCGATTTCCTGTTTTGGACCATAAATTTTTGACCTCCTGTCATCTATCTGCCTGTAAATCTTCCCCACCCACATGCTATCAATCTACTCTATATCTGGATACACAGATGCACAAACCCGAAGCTCAGCCACCCAAAACAAAACTTTTGCACCAGGAGGCAATGAGATGCTACCAAGAAGTGCTCCCAACGTTTCCGTTTTGAATTTGATGATGATGCCCCCCTCCCCACAAACGGTCTCGCATAGAAAAATCACAGAAATACATAAAATATTCATAGTGCAAATAAAGCTGGCGCTTCTAGCTGACGTGAGGTACTTTTTGACGAAGTGTCATGAACAAAGTTACCTGGATAACTCACGGTAGACCGCCCGTAGACGTCCGTAAAAATGACAACCTCTTCAGTTCGGGTTTCGCGCCATTTTTACCGATCACTCCACTCAACATGTAGGGGTGTAAAGAATGGCATATCATTTGGACACAACATTGACTTCATCTACAAATAGTGAATCAAAAGTAAAGATACATAATCTGTTATTATCATATATAATGAATAATACTTGTACAATAAAGTTATACATGAAAGAGTCGAATTAATTTTCTACCCATGGAATAGTGTACTATTCCGATGTGGAGGTTAAAGGTTAAGTCATCATATGACTGTGAAAAACAAGGCCAGACAAGGAATCAAAGCTAGACAACGGTCTGTCAGGGTTTTCTGGTCGATAAGGTTGGTTAGTTAGCTTGTGTACTTGTCATCTGGTTAGGAAAGAAAAACACAGAGAAGACAACGGAAGTGCAACCGGCCGGTAAGTTATGAAACCGTTAGACTTTGGACTTTGGGTTATTTGAGTGCACATTTGAAAAGCTTGCTCTCTAGTCTAGGTCTCCTGTTACATGTTTACAGTCTGTATAAACTAAAAGCTCTTGACATGTTCTCAACGTTGTTTGTTTGTTTGTTTGTTTCCTGATATGTGAACCGATAAGTCAAAATATCTATAAATTGAATTCTCAGATATTTTGCACCTTGCACCTAGTGCACCTTGGTTTACCAACTACCAAGGAACAAGACTAAGTAATTGAAATTTTTGTGAATCCAAAACATATTCAGGAATTTGTGTGGTAACTGACCCACTCCCTTCAGAGCTGTTAACTCATATTCTAAAGATTATCTTACTACAAGAACAGCGAGAAACTATGTCTTGTTTCTTGTGTGGTTGAGACTTTGTCCAAGTAGTTAACTGGATTTCGGAATAATTATATTCTTTAATACTACTAAAAATAAAATACATGCATGTTCACATATACCACATTTTCCAATATTAGGCTTTGGAGAATGGTTATTATTATGTTAGTATCAAATAGCTTCTTCATACGAGCGATCGCTGTTTTTGTTTACATTATATACTAGTACATGCAAATTATTTCGAGACATATGCAAACTATTGGTGGTCAAATCAACCAACCATCACCTGGTTTTTGCCTACCATGACATCATGGTGATCGCTCCTATTGGAGCATATGTAGTGAAAGTGAAAGTGAGAGTTGCCATGCAAATGAGAGATATACATGCAAGTGAAAGTGAAATGACATTACACATGTTTATCACTTGTTTTTCAGATGGACCCATGTTTACTCAAGGTCCTGTTATGAAGAACATGAAGATGCACAGATAGCTGGAAAAAATTGGACAGTTCATTACATTTACAACAAAGGTGTTAAAAACACCCACATGGATTCATAAAAATCCAAGAAAACCACTTATCATCACAAAGCTTTGTAGGGGCAAGAAGGTTTTAGCATCCTTCACTGATTGGGGTTGCTGGAAAAAACAGTCCAGTCCAGACACCCCTATTGACTCACTGAAGTGGGTACCAAAAAACAACAACATGGCGTCGCCTGAACTAGTAAGCTTCTGCTGCGTGGGTAACGATGACCTCAGATGGGTCATAAACTACCAGAACTCGAGCTATAATGCAGTTTGCCTGGCGAGCTCGGTTTTCAGCATTGTAGGAACTGTTGTGCAGCTGCTGCCAAAGAGAGTGACTCCTGCTGAGTCCATGAGACTAAGACGAAGCCGGGATCCGTTCACTTCGCAGAAGAAAATTGTCATGTGGCTGATAGTGGCAGACCTTTTAGCTTGTTTAGGTGAGTGCTACCGGTACCTAGTATTATTCATGTAGTAGTATTGTAAATCTTGAAATGTTAGCTGTGATTTTATTTTCGCAGAGCCCTCTCTACCCAAATTCATGACACTGCAAGTACATTTGTATGTATTTCCAATTGTATTACTGGTACATACCCACTGGGTTAAGTACAGGTCACAACGAAAGGATGGAATAGAGATAACGTTACATATATACATCATCAAGTTACTACAATTAGATAAATTAAGTAAATTTGTTTTCTTCTCATTTCTTAGTAATGGTGTTTATTTATTTTTCGGGTTCTCCCGTGTCTTGGGCGTGCGCTAAGTTTATAGCGTTGTTCTGTTAAAAATCGACTCCGTTTTCATCTAGTTGGCTGACCCCGTAGCTGACAGAAGTAGAATGTTTTCCTACCGAAAGAAACTTTGCCAGCCGCGTGGAAGTACTTGCTTTCAGGGTGATAGCAATCTATCGAAATTAATTATGGACATGGTCGTTGTTGATGCAAGAGTTTTTGGGGAGGGGGGAGACGCACGCCCCGGGATTTTGATGGGCAAACTTTTAATTGTCGCAATTCTTAATACTAATACGGAGACCTCTTGACGCAAGCTACCCATGAGAAGACAACAGCTACAAGATTATGAAACACAACCACAAACTACTGCCGGTACGCCTCATAATTTTTATTTCTTGGTAACAATCTTGCCGAATTTTAATACCGGAGACGGAGGGATTACTACACGTTACATTGTATTCATTCACGGTAGTTTCTTAAAGTTAAAGTTTGCGCTGAACAATAGCTTTGAAAAAAAAGTAGCAGTTTTATAATAACTATGACCGCGTGAGAAACACCTTATACACATTATTTTCGTACATTCCTATGCTTCAACACCATCAAAATTGTAGCAAAATTGTAGCAAAGTTGACTGGCGTCAGACTCCATCGGCCCGGCACAGATCGCCCGGCAGGACGTAAAAATAAACATTTGGCACGCCGCCATCGCCGTTCCGAGCCGCGGCAGACTTCGGGGTCTCGCACCAAGTTTTTTCGCTACGCGGTACGCGGGACACGACAGGCCTCCCGAAAGAATACCGCGGGATATCCCGCAATCTCCCGCGTGATATCCCGCAAACTCCCGCGGGATATCCCGCAGTCTCCCGCGTGATATCCCGCAAACTCCCGCGGGATCTCCCGCAAAATCCCGAATCCCGATGATGCTTATCCCGCGATCTGTACTGTATGTATTTCCAATTGTATTACTGGTACATACCCACTGGGTTAAGTACAGGTCACAACGAAAGGATGGAATAGAGATAACGTTACATATATACATCATCAAGTTACTACAATTAGATAAATTAAGTAAATTTGTTTTCTTCTCATTTCTTAGTAATGGTTAATAGGTAAGACCAGGTATGGTTCAAATAGAAGGTTTGTCTAAATTTATCTGTACAGCTTAGATGTATGAAGAAGGGGAGCATAGATTTTATCAGATTATAAAGATCTGCTCTCTCTTTGTTGAATCACATGTATAAAGAATAAAGAGAAAGAATAAAGAGAAAGAGTTAGTTGTGTAGAAATTCTCGTGCTTTTGATAAATGAAAAATAATTGACGTATGTTATTTTCAACTGTTTGTTCAGTATTATATGTGAATTTATTAACATGGAGAAGGTAGATCAATTTGTTTCTTTCCTTTCCTTTTCTTTCCTTTCCTTCTACAGGTATTTTTCTTCGATCTATGGTGTGGTTAGCTGGTGGTCATAGTGCTTCTGATGATCAGCCTTCTCCTGCCACAGTTTTCTGTGCATTTGTTGGGGTAAGAAGGACAAGATTTCCTGTCCCATATATTGACATAGCACAGCAATTTGATATTATCTGTCAGGGCTCGAAATACTGGGTGCATGTGCACCTTAGTGCACCCAAATTTGGAGCTGTGCACCCAATTTTTCTCTGTGGGTGCACAGGTGCACCCAAATATTTTTGTAGGTATTTTTGAACACATCAAAATTAGTATGCAGGATATTCGTGGCATCTAAGTGTCAGAAAAGTAATGAAATCTTTGTTGTAGTACTTGTTTAAGATTTTGAAGTTAGCTCCAATTTCAGATACAAGCTCAGAATTGATTTTCAGTTATACTGATTTCTGTTAACTTTTGTTACTTGATTGTATAATTTACTTTTATACAATTTGCTTTATGTTATGTTATATTTGTTTGTGACCCTGGGCCCTCTTGAAAATCAGCAATATTATGCTGTAGAGGCTACCCAGGTGTTTACAAGATGAAATAAATAAATAAAAAAGAATAGGAGCAGTAAGATCTGTATTAGATTTTGTTTTATATGGTGCACCCAAAAAAATTTTGGTGCACCTAATTTTTTAGGTTGGGTGAACCAGTGCACCTATTCCCAAAAATGAATTTCGAGCCCTGTCTGTAAACCTACTTTTCTTGTATTGCGAGGGCATAAAGTGTGTCAACAAGATAATATAAATCTAGGTTGCATGCCAATTTTTCATACAGTTCATTTTTTCTCATCGTCTAAACTAAATTGTTTCTTGTGTATCCCTGAACTAACCCAGGGGTGGATTCAGCTGTTTTACATCACAACGTACTTCTGGACATTCTGCTATGCTGTGGATGTGTTTGTCATCATGAAGGGCTTCAATGGCCTCAGGTAAGGCCACATCAATTTAATTTGTTGTTTATTGGATTCGCCCTGTCCATTTTTTTCTGATTTGCAAAAAAAGAAGATTTTAGGTTCTGAATCAACTGCAAAATGCGCAATGAAAGACATATTTTGGCCCCAACGGTTGAAGAAAGTCCTTTTCTTCCTAGTTGTTAAAGTTTTTCCAAGTAACAATGCAACTTTGTTTCATTAAAAGTTCAAACTCTAACTTTTTCTAAAATTAATTACAATAGATTGTTTATCTTATTTTGTTTTTTTTATTTCTTTTATAACAAAGATGCTGTCAGTGTAGTGTTAGGTAAGTGAAAATAAACTGGTGGTTTTTAATTTTATCTTCAAAGTTTGGTTGAAAATTTGTAAAATTTTCAGTTAAACCTTACTTTGGTATATAACTTATAAGGGATATGACGGTAATGTACATGTATACTGTAATTCCTGATTTGTTCACTGTACTGATAAGTTCACTGTTTTCACTGTCTATTGTGTACAGTGAACTTATCATTACAGTTAACAAATAATTCCTGGACTTTCTTTTTCCTGCACTTGTCACCACCGTGAACGTATAGTTACGTGAACATGTCCATTTTTCTCAGACCGTGAAATTTTGCTACCGTGAACATAAAGTGAATTACAGTATGTCACAGGGGAGATTGGAATCCAGGGGGATCCGGAATCCTCCTAGGGGAGATTGGAATCCCTATCTCCCATTCCCATCATCACTACTAGTATCTGAGTCTGATTTACATATTCACGTACCTATGCTACAATTGATTGAAAGTTTAGGTGTGAAATAACTCAGTCTATTTTCCGAAGCATTTTGATGCAATCATAATTTCTCCTTTAAAATTGGAGATTGTCCTGTAAGAATTCCCACTTGTCCCAGGACAAATTGGAATCCCTATCTAAATCTCCCCTAGGAGAATCTGGAATCCTCCTAAGAGAGATTGGAATTCAGATATTCAGATCCCAGTTTTGTACAAAAAAAACTTGAATTCCAGTCTCCCCTAGGGGGAGATTGGAATCCCTATCTCCCCTAGGAGGATTCCAGATACTCCTAGGGGAGATAGGGATTCCATTCTCCCCTAGGGGAGATAGGGATTCCAATCTCCCCTTGGAGGATTCCGGATCCCCCTAGATTCCAATCTCCCCTGTGACATATACAAGTTTATTAGTGTATATGTGTTTGACATCATCTTTATTGAATTGACAAAACAATTAAAACAGTATACAAGATGAAGAGTTAAAAACACCTCGGTCGGCCCCTTCAAACAGATCTAGGGCGCAAAAAAAAAGAGACAAAAACTTATACTCAAAAAAACTTTTAAAAACTTTTAACAGAAAGAAAAGTGCAGTATGTCATAATCTAATTGAGATTGGGGCCCACTGGCAGCCAAGTTGGCAAGGCTTAGATCCTGTATGAGAGTAATTAAATGTCAACTGTTGCCTGGCATGTCAGTGACATGAGTAAACATTACTGTACCAACAGCAAACATTGGCAAGGGGCATGGTAAAAATATATCAGGTCACTGTTAATGTCATGTGGGAGGGGGGCAAACAGATCAGTTGACTGCAACTGTGTGCCTATTTTCTTATTTTTGTTATCTCTGGGTTTTGTTTTGTGTGTATGTATGTTTGTGTGTGCCATGCTTGCTCATGTGAGGGCCTGCATGGGGGGTAGTGATTATGAATTACGCAAAATTTTCTCCGCCGATTACGAATTACGTTCAATTCTCAGAGCTGATTATGACTTTACAATTTGCAGCTAATGTACTATTACAAATTACGTTGATTTTTTGGGAGGCTGCCTACGGATTACGAAGACTAAAAAGGCCTGATTACACCTTACGAAAAAGGGCATGCAGGCCCCCTCATGTGTCTATAGGAATTTTAATGCAGTACAGAAAGGGAGGGGGATTTTGTAACCACAGACTGACAGGAAGGTCAACCTGGAAGTCAATGGGTCTTGCAGGCTGGGAATTGAATGGTACATGTACAAACAAAGTTTCCAGCTATCATTTACGTTTGTTGCCTTGTGAGAGCTAGTGGGAAAGTGCATTTTATAATATGCATAATTAGCACAAAAATTACTATAGTATAAAATAAGAAATTCAGAACTCTAAATACTTCATGGCGATGTTAAATGTTTGATTTTTTGTTGACATACCCTTCCCCTACAGTAAACTGTGGATATACCACATCATCAGCTGGGGAATGGCCATTATTCTGACTGGAGAGAGCCTGACACTTCTTTTCTACCCTTCTGGTTGGAAGTAAGTGATTATTTAAGCCATTTCTTACCACCAGAATTTTATTTTTAAATTACCAGTATCATTTCAAGTAGCATTGCCCTTTCCACTAGAGGCTTTGGGCAAATACCACCAGAGGTCTAGTACGTCGGCAGAACGTACTGCGCCTGCGCAGAACCCTGGATTTTCGCGTTTTTCGTTGGATTTTTTGTCAACATTGCATTAGAATTTTGCCTGTTGCAGAGGATACCTTTTCAAACACAACGTTTGGAAACTACTGTCAAAATGCTAACCTTATTTGAGCGAATACGACCTTATATGAGACATTCTGCCAAAGTGCTATGTACAATACATTACGGGTCTCGCCCAGGTGCAGTACATTCTGCCAACGTGCTCAGAGGTCTCTGCTTCACAGGTCGTTGGAAAAATGGTGCAGGTTTCCACAAATGTACTGTCCTGTTCACACCAATCATCTTGAAGTTTCAATCATGGAGGTAGAAAAACATCTGATGTTTTAACTCTGATTCAATCAATCTTGATATCGGTATTCTCCTTGCTGCACTCTGCCAATGATCTGCTAGGTGGCGCAACTGCTTGGCCTTCAGTTGATAGCCAGTGTTTCTTCCCATACGTTTGACAGATGTGAAGATGGGAAAGCCCACCTGGTCCCGTACTACTTATCCACCTACATCCCCATTGTACTGGTGATGATTCTCAACCCAATTCTGTACATATTCTCTTCAAGATCAGGTAAAGTAAAGATACAGTATTTCTGGTACCTACCATATCTAAGTCATTACCCTTTGAGTTTTAGAAAAATGTAATGATTTTTGTCATTTTATTGAGAAAAAAAACAACAAATAGTAAAGCTGACATATGTAAAATTTGTTAACTAAATAAAGTTAAAAGAATTGTGATGAAAACATGATACATTTCTTTGATTGACATGAATCTTTATTGCTTATTCCTGTCCAGATGGACTAAAAAAATTAAATTCACTCAATGTGATTATTTTTATTTCTAATTTACAAATTTGGAGGACCCTGGGTTCTCCATTGTAAAATTAAAGTTTCCCTACTGTGATGCATCCTACTAAATTGGCTGTTTTTTGTTTATTTATCTAGGATCTCCATTTATAAAATGCATCATGTACTTACTTAAGTCCCTTTTCTAATGCTACACATTATAACCTTTTATACTTTTACTCTTGTATGTACATGTAGTTCCATCCATCTTGAAGAGCCGAAGAGGAAAGTACACAGACATAGAGAGGGCCATTGTACAGTCTGTTAGGTTAAAGTTCTTCAATGTCGTACTGGTCTTCTTTGCATGGTAAGTTCAGTACAATTATTTTTTCCAACATGTTTGTACATGTACATGTATGTACAAAGGGTTTTATTATAAAATGTACCTCCTTGCATGAAGGTTTTGTTTTTGGTGTGTTTGCATGTTTAATTGTTTGTCTGTAGTTAGTAGGAAATGGTGTTAAATTTCAGATAGACAGTAAGGTCGAATCATTGAATCATTGAAATACACAATTTGTTCTCTATACCATTTCTTCATAAAATTGAATGTATAACAATTTACATGTTTCTCTTTATTTTTCATCAGTTGGATACCAAATGTTCTGAATGGAGTTCTGATTTTTGCTGGGGACAACTTGACAGGACAAAATGTTGTCTACCAGGAGGTTGTGCATATCCTGTGGTATATGATGGTAGGTATCAAAAGTCACATGCATATTGGTAGAATTGGTGAGAGCGATCCCAATTGGAGTTACTGTCAACAGAAACTGCAATCAAAGTTTTGAAAAAAAATTTGAGTTATGCTTAACCTTCTATATTGATTGCCTATTCTGTGTATTTTTATACTTGTTGTCATTGATTATGTAAATTTTGATGTTGTATGATATTATGTGTTTTTGTATGGGGGAGGGCAACTTGTAAAGGTGTGTATGCACCTGTTTTGCCCTCCCTTTCACTTTGTGAAAAATCAAAATAAACAAAGTCTCTCGGTAGAGATCCCAATCAGAGTCTTTGTCTACAAAAACTGAGATCAAAGTCTTTGCCGGTAGAGATCAGGATTAGAGTCTTTTAAAGGCTTTGTTCCCTGATCCAATAACACCCATATTGCCCCCCCTCCCCTCCAGGCTATCCTGAACCCTCTCCAAGCCTTCCTGAACTCGCTGGTGTACAGGGGTTGGCAGGGGTGTCAGTGTGCCTGTCCGTGGCAGTCTGACTTCAGCGTACAGTCCGTCCCTGTAACCCCTGACCCCGGCCCGTCACGCAGCGTCACGCCGTCACAGGACGAGGGCCTGTCCACGTCCTACGAATCCGACCATCGTACCAGCGTTATCAACGGGAACGTAGGGCTGCTTTCAGAAAGTAAGTGGTTTATGTGTTGAAATCACTTTACTGTTGGTACTGGGTTGTGTACTGGGTTTTATGAGGGCCTGCATGGCAACACTCTATGCTAAATTTTGAGATCTGCCTACGTATTATGCTACAGTAGCGATTGCTCTTTACGATAAATTCCAAGTGGCTACAATGCATTACGTGGAATTAAAACTCGAATTATGCTCTACGCAAAATGCACCAATTATGCCCTATGTAGAATTAAAACGTCGGACGATTACACTCGATGGAAAAGGGCATGTGGGCCCCCCTTGTATCATGCTTTGAAATAGTGTCTATGAGCTTTGTCAGGGCTCAAAATACTTTTTTCTGCATTGCTTCACTGGTGCGGGTATGCAGAAATAAATATTTCATGGTTTGACATCTTCCTTTTCAGAGTTAGATTTGTTACACATGTACATCTGTTTCTGGATGATGAAGAGTTTTCAACATTTTCTGCTTCCAAAAAAATCCACTTTTCTCTACAGGCTATATTTAGAGAGAAATACTGTCAGCTAAAATTTTTACTCCTAGACTAACTAATAAGCTACAAATTGTATTTTGTTTTTGTAACCTGTTCTTGCTTTTAGTGTAACTTTAACCTTGCTTCTTAGCAAGTTAGTAAAAATTATGGATGAAATGTAGTCTATTTAACAGAGACAAAATTAGGTTTTGAGACTTTATTTTACTCCTCAATTATTATTTAGCTTGGTGCACTAGCAAAAATTTTCCCTCAAAATGCAGGATATACAATGTATACAATGTAACATTTCAGAGGGTTAAGCCCTAAGACCCCTGCATTAGTCCAGTGCCAGTGAGGGTGCAAATCCGATCATCAATACCCCCCCCCCATAAAACTCTAATTTTTTTGCTGTTGCTTCTGTGACATTACTAGTACTTTGATTGGTATGACGACCATGTGTACAATGTAAAATGTAACTTACTGTAGTTGCTTAAGTAGTATAGTCCTTTGCAGCTGATCACTTACAACTTATTTTCTTTCCTTCTGCATGTTGCTTCTCCATGTAGCTTGAAAGTTGTGTTTACAATGAGTGGTAAGTACTGATTTTTCTGTGTGTTCTGGCCTTGTGTACCTTTTCAAACTTTCAAACTACTTTCCAAATTTTCACTGTAACTTTAACTGTAACTTTTTGTTACTTCTTGCTTGAGCAGTAATCTCATGTATTTCTCTTTTTGATGTAAAATAAGACATATTCTTCTACCCGAGTTTGATATGTAACAAGTATCTAAGAAATAATTTTTATTTCGTGTCAGAAACTTGTACTGACAAAGAAGTTTATTTAATTAACTTTACCAACAAACTGATCTTTGCAATTTTGGTGTCATACATATAACAATTTTTCATGTACTAGTATTGCTAACAAAATGGAATTATAACAGATATGTTCCTTGCTTGTAAGTAACGTAATGTTCTAATCATGTTAATAACGAATGATAACTCCAAATTTCTACAAATATGAGTCATATGACGTCCCACGTTCTAGCTTGGCTGTTAATGTTGTAAGTATGCCATGATCTAGTCAACCCCCTCTAAGTTTATCCAGGGGTGCCAGAGTGTACAGTGCAATTTTATGGAATACAGTGCATTTTTACGGAATACAGTACAATCGTATTTAATTTAGTATACAGTACAATTTTACGGAATACAGTACAATCATAGTATACAGTGCAATTTTACGGAATACAGTACAATCGTATTAGTATACAGTATTGCACTGTATACTAGTAAAATTGCAGTGTAATACGATAATCATTGCACTGTATTCCGTAAAATTCTATAATTCCGTAAAATTTCCATAAAATCGCACTGTATACTAATACGATTGTACTGTATTCCGTAAAATTGCACTGTATACTAGTAAAATTGCACTGTATTCTGTCAAATTGTACTGTATTCTGTAAAATTGCAATGTATACTCTGGCACCCCTGTTGTCCCAGTTTTGTTTCTAATTCCTCCACTCCATTTTTCCTTCCAGTTGATGGGGATGTTGACCCGGAGTTTCTCCCGCTCTTGGACATCAACTGTTTCACCGAGTACAGAACATTTGCTGAGAACTCTGCAAACTTCACGTCCTCTTCTGGCAGCTGGAGCTCTTCAGAGTGGACCAAGCTGCCCAAACCTCAGCTACTGTGACAGGAACGCTAAGGCCATACTGATTTCATTACTTACTTACATAATGTTCTAGCCAGCATCCATCTTTCCATTTTGCCACTTGTGACACGTCTCCACGTTTGAAGGCATAGATCCCACTTCTGTCACCATGTGATACGTCCTGCCTTGCCTCGTAGTGTCCTTCTATTTCAGGGTAGGAATCTATTGACTGAACACCAAGCCAGAATTCGCAAATCTGCTTGTTTATTCCTCAGTCGCTCACCAGACGTCCTTCGTCTGTGAGGGTCTTTTGTCTTCTCTTGTTGCGCATTAGTCTATATGTTAATGATCCTAACTATCAACACATTGTCTGACGAAGACTTTGGAATAAAAAGTCGAAACCGGAAAAAATTGATAGTCTCAGCCATCATCCTTCTGACGAACTCTTGACTAACTATCAACACATGTTACACTACTCATGACAGACGAAAAAGGATCTGGAAACTGAATGTACAAATATAGAAAACTTGTAGTGATTTGGAAAGTTTTATAACTGACATGGGTTATATCTACAGTGCTAGTATGATGTGTACATTATAGTCAGTGTTGTGTTTTAAGAATAATGTTTTAAAGAGCTGTAAGTTATATATCCAGATGCAAGGACAAGGTTTACATCTTGTTATAGTAGTGTCAGCAAATGAAGCAGTGATATCAATGCTTTAAGTGCAATTATTTGAATATTGAGCCAAATTTAATAGTATAGTTTGAATTGTGTACAATCTTTTACAAGTTATTAGAAAAGTGTGTTGACAATAAACTTAAGAAACAAAGATTACTGGCTGGCTGAAGGGTTGCCTTCTAAAATAAATAGTTGATACATGTATATAAACCTGAAATATTGTCAGGAAACCTCACATACATGTAAAACTACAGATATATGTATGTAACATTATGTATGTATGTATATCCATAAATACTTAATATCTATAAATATACTGTTGCATAGTTGTTAGTTCGATACATTCAGACGAAATACATTGTATTGCAGTTTTATGGCATGTTGTATATGGAGTCTAGGATTGTTTTAGGTTTTTAAACATACTGATGTCCTTAGACGTTTGTGTGAAATTGTATGAAATCAACATATCATTAAGTGCTTAAGGCCTGTTCCTTAGGAAATACGTTTTGTGAGGCTGTCAAATGTCATGGTATTTTATTATAAAAAAAAGAGCTGAGAGTATTTTAGTACAAGACCTCAAATTCAAAGTCCTATCTTTTGAAATAAACTTTAAGTTTTAATGAGTGCTTATTGTTTTCTTTTTAATTGTCAAAATTGATCACATCACATTTAAGTAATGAATATAAGTGTAGTTTAGTTGGGGGGTATTGATATTGATACGGAGGGGAGCAAGGGGCCAGTACCTGGCCTGGGCACTTATAATATAAGTAGGCAGGATATGAATCGTACCCACATGTATGATTGTATAGAGGTTAGAAAGTTCTTGTTTACATACATTGTAACATTACATACCGTATTGCAGTAGGCTGTAAGGGCTGTCTTCGCAGGCCCATTACAGCCTGGCCTGAAAGGTGGCCAGGTTTTTCCGCAAACCCGTACGTACTGCGTGGGTGGAAAAAAATACAGTTTTCATCTTTCATGCATTAGATTAGAACCATACATGTACTCGGAGGAAGCAAAATTGCCTATAAAACAAAAGAGAATGTATTACATGTAGAATATTGGTCGAGTGGGTGCCTCAAACTCTCCCTTAATTAAATTAAATCATGGAGGTAGAAAACCTCCATAATTAAATCTTGCACATCTTGAAACTGGGCAAGTTAGAATTTAATTCAGATTGCTTCACAGCTTGATGAGGATCAGCTAGTGAGCATGCAGCATTTTGTTTTCAATCATGCTGACGTACTTTCACAAATATCAAGTAGGTACCTTGACAAAGTCATTAACATGTCATTATAACGTTAACTTCGTTACATTCAACCAACCAATCAATCAATGGTGTTACATTCAACCAATCAATCAATGTTTTAGTTAACCCATTTAGCATTTACAAAGGCTGTTTAGTGTCAGAATAAAAGAATTAAATACTTGGATCCGAGGTATCATTTTTGGTAAGAGGTAATTTTTTAAAAACTTTGATACATATAACGTTATATTAAATAATGTTTATGATATGAAGGAATGCAGTCAAACCCGGAAGTACAACTTTGAACGCTTCCGCCAGTTTGTCACATGTTCCCTCTTGACCAATCAGCGCCGAGCTGCCTGCCCTGCCAGTGGACCGTAGCATTCGGGAAAAGCTGTGGTCAAAACAGATGTTTTGTTTCAAATTCTTGGCTTTTTAGGCGACAAATTTGAACCGGAGAGATGGAGGAGGGAAGTGTAGAGGTATGTGGATAGTTTTAGCTTCCATATTTCCAGTTCTCGTGCTAGAAATACGCTCTGAGGACCAAGAATTTCTTGTTTTCGTGGTGGTTCTACTTCTAGATATTGAATGGTCGTCGTGTAGCTGAAAATCGATGAATATTTTTTTAGCGCAGGTATATAGCAACTGCCGTGAACGATTTGAATGAATTTCAATACGCCTATAATTTTATTTTCCGAAGGAACACGACGTGTATTATAAAGGAATACTCTAATTTTTCTGCTCGAGTTTTATGGTTTTGTTTATTATGCCAGCGGAACGTAACGTTAGAACACTTGAAGGCTGGGAGGGGGGCGGTAACTCAGACCGACCATAGGGTTCTTATCTTATAATATTTAATAACGCCAAATGTAAAATACATAAATTTCTTGTATAATATTTTAGTATCACCGGTAAATTTGTATCGACATCAATATGTTGAAAAAATTATGCTCAACAATTGCAGCAACCTTTTTGTTAACGTTGAATACACATTTATTGTTGACAAGTTGTTGACATTTCTTTTAACGTCAGTTTTAAAGCGTCAGAGACGCCTAATTAGTTGTTTACAAGCTAACGGCTGGATCTGAAGTAACAACGTCATAATTACCTCGCCTGGAGAGCATGTCAGCCTAATCATGAGTATTTTTAGCTGTTGAAAATTTAAAATACATAAAGAGAAGTCCTCGTGTCAAAACAAGTGAAATGTTTATTATTTTTTAATTAAAAAATTAATTGAGCAAGGGGGTGCTGAAGTTTTTAATCAAGAATGTGGGGTCGTGTGGCGTAGCGGCAGAGTACTCGACTCGGAACCCAGAGGTCCCGGGTTCGAGTCCTGACATGCCACCGATCTTGTGCCCATGGGAAAGGCACTTTACATGACTTTCCTCACTTCGGTCAGGGGAAAATGAGTATTGTCCTGTTCCGTATTTGTCCTCAGTGTTGGTGACGGTATAAAATAAGATGATATAACTTGAGTGTAAATTATGAAATGTTGGAATAAAATTGTAAAAAAAAGTTAATCAAGAATAAAAAATGGTCGTTCAGAATTTGCCAACTTTCTTTAGGAGCTTACAAAAGAAAATATGTTTTCATTTAAATATAGCATATGAATATTAGTAATACTACTAGTAATAATAGTCTACATGGTAATTATAACCAATCACTTTTTTCATTGCAAAAAATGTATTGATATTGAGCTGAAATTGATATTCCATGATGATTTCTACCCCAACACCACAATGTACATTACTTTATTGGTGTGTTCTAATTTACATTGTAGACTGTCCAGTGGCAGTTTCAGGTTCTGTGTGTTGACTTTGATTCTGTGTGTATTTGCAGAGCCTGGCGGAGGTGTTCCGATGTTTCATCTGTATGGAGAAGTTGCGGGACGCCCGCCTGTGTCCTCACTGCTCCAAACTCTGCTGCTTCATGTGTATCAGGGTCAGTCTATATGCTGAACATCAGGGCTCGAAAAACTGGGTGCATGTGCACCTTAGGTGCACCCAAAATTGGAGCTGTGCACCCAATTTTTTTTCTGTGGGTGCACCAGTGCACCCAAATATTTTCACAGGTTAACATGTGTAAAGATGTTAAAAGTACAGTACTATACAGCATACTTTTAGTATGTAAGGATTAAAAAAAATAAAATCATTGTTATAGTACTTTTCTTTACAAATGAAACATTATTAGTTTTGCTGACATTCTACTTATATGGTGCACCCAAAAATTTTTTTGTGCACCTAATTTTTTAGGTTGGGTGCACCAGTGCACCTATTCCCCAAAATGAATTTCGAGCCCTGAACATTCATTGGTGCTGGGGCTTGATTTCGAAAATAAAGCCATATGAATATTACAAGATTTACTGTAGTTCATGACCAGTCTCTATCTGCTGGGAGGTTACTGTAAATCACTTGATATTCACGTTAGCAAAAGTTCCCAGTCTGAGAAAAATGGACATGTTTGCAGAACTACCGGTATATACTATATGTTCACGGTGTTGGCAGGTACAGGGGAAAGAAAGTCAGCAAATTATTTTTTTGCAGTCATGGTAATTTCGTGGTTCAGAAGTAACCACGTAGTACCACGAATATGAAGTGATTTACAGTATGATGGCCTGGCCATTTGGGACATTTGTCTTCTCTTATAAACAAGAAATCATGGGTGGTAAGGAAGATGTATCAAATGGTGATGCCAAACTTGTGTTTGTGTTTTTAATCTTTCCAGCGATGGCTTACTGAGCAGAGGTCACAGTGCCCACACTGCAGGTATGTCTTATTAATATAAAGTATACTCTTTTATAATGTTTTACTCAGTGAACAAAATTACATGTATGTTGAACAGTGTACTATATTTATATTTTTACTTTTAGTAATCCGAAAATTGTCACCAAAACATATTATATTATACTGTATCTGATGTACACTCAAACCAGTACAAGTGACCACCTCAACATAAGGACCACTTGGCCACTTTTTTGGGTTCCATAAATGATTTTCCCCATTGAGACAAGCGTAAAGAATTTAAAATTATAATGACCACCTGTTTACACATATGTAGACCAGATTTCCTCAGTCACCCACATAGGCATTTTTTCACTATTCATACATATATGTATGTATATATTATGAAGTGTTAAGTTGTTATTTTTCTCCAAATTTTCTATACTTACTTTGGTACACAGTGGTCGAAACACTTTTTTCAGTGCTCTGCAATATTGCAGTAGAGTCAAAATTTTGTTCTGCAATTTGAAAATACATGTATACAAGCCTCCATACTACAACCATCTAAAACTAATAATGCCTTTTTGACATCATGTATAGCTTTGTAAATCTGTGGCATTGCTGGAATTCTTTAAACTTAAAGTTAAATCTACCACTCTTTTTAATTTAAGACTTTAGAGATCCTTCTCTACAGAAAATTGATCATTTCGTTCCTGGTACCTTCATGGGCCTGAGAGTTCTAGTTAAATCTGGAGCCTATTTTTCCTTCCGCAAAATTGCAGACTGTGTAATTACTATAAATTTTTATTCTGCAATCTTGAAAATCTCGAAGTATCTTGAGGTATTTCGAACACTACTAGTAGTACTACATGTATTTTATGCTTAAAGTCACAAAAGTTTGCCTGGTTGTTCCCAGAGCGTCGTTACAGCTGCATGAGCTGGTGAACTGTCGCTGGGCTGAGGAGGTGACTCAGCAGCTGGACACCCTGCAGATGTGTGGGATGGGCGCTAAACACAGCGACGACGACAGGGACAAGTCAGTTTGTTTGTTTGTTTGTTTATTTGTTTGTTGACTTTTGCCTCTCGTGATTTTCTCTCCAACAAAATGGAGTGTATACTATCAAGTCAAGTGTCTTGAATTTGATGCTGACATTGTACATCATCAAGTATAACATTACATAGCTCTATTCATGAATTTTATGCAATACACTACCTTATTAGCTTTCTAGGACACTGTAAGTGTTGGAAGGCATCTCTCTCTTTCCACTGCCTTTTACCTCCCAAACAGAAATCTGATTACAGGGGTTTTTCTAAACACAGGAATAAGGGCGCTGCTCCCTCATGTAACCAGTCAGATCCCTAAATTATATCAATTTTCAGATTGAACCCTAAGTGGCTACTTGCACACGATTTATTCTTTCTCAAAATGATTTTTTCAGTTAAGATGTGAAGACAATACAACAATGCATTCTAGCATTACAAACTCACCCCCATGAAACTCCTTCCTCTTCGCCCCCGCCGTTCTGCTTCGCCCCCGCCCCGTTCTGCTTCGCCCCCGCAAAAAATCTGCTTCGCCCCCGTCGTTCCTCTACGCCCCCGGCGCAATTCTGCTTTGCCCCCGTCCTTCTGCTTAGCCCCCAATGGCGGCACAGCTCACAGTCGACACGAAAATCGTCTGCAAAATAACAATAAAGGCTGTGCCGCCAAATTTAAAGTAGCCCATGCTCCGGCAAACATTCTGGACCACCTTTCTACCAAGTGGCGTTGCACAAATCCTTCCCATTCAAAAGTTTACCCCTACCTCACGGCCCGTCAGTGGTTTCTACGTTTATAAGTACTGGCGGGAAATTTCACTCACGGCTGTACTTATAAACGCCAGTACTTATAAACGTAAGAACCACTGACGGGCCGTGAGGTAGGGGTAAACTTTTGAATGGGAAGGATTTGTGCAACGCCACTTGGCAGAAAGGTGGTCCAGAATGTTTGCCGGAGCATGGGCTACTTTAAATTTGGCGGCACAGCCTTTATTGTTATTTTGCAGACGATTTTCGTGTCGACTGTGAGCTGTGCCGCCATTGGGGGCTAAGCAGAAGGACGGGGGCAAAGCAGAATTGCGCCGGGGGCGTAGAGGAACGACGGGGGCGAAGCAGATTTTTTGCGGGGGCGAAGCAGAACGGGGCGGGGGCGAAGCAGAACGGCGGGGGCGAAGAGGAAGGAGTTTCATGGGGGTGAAACTGTGTTACTCTTGCAATATGCTCCCTCATGCTAAATTTTTCTAGAATACCCCTGAATCAGGTACCTTTTTTACCCTGTGTGTATGTTGCAGGTGTGAGGTACACCAGGAGAAGCTGAGTGTGTTCTGTTGGACCTGTAGGAAGTGTATCTGTCCTGACTGTGGTGTGTTTGTATGTTCCAGGTGTGAGGTACACCAGAAGAAGCTGAGTGTGTTCTGTTGGACCTGTAGGAAGTGTATCTGTCCTGACTGTGGTGTGTTTGTATGTTGCAGGTGTGAGGTACACCAGGAGAAGCTGAGTGTGTTCTGTTGGACCTGTAGGAAGTGTATCTGTCACCAGTGTGCTCTGTGGGGAGGCACGGTTTGTACTGATATGGTAATCTTTCTGTGACAACCACACAGACCATTTTTTTATTTGCCTTCTGTTTCTTTTAACATGCTAGTGCTTGCATTTGTTAGCTATGTCATTCAGGACATGGAAAGAAATTCCTCAGTTGCAAAGGGCCTTAATTTGCTTATCATTTCATTGTCATATGATTTGAATTTTTGACTTCGTACTACTGTAAGACAGCTGCATATTGTCGTGAAAGGAATCAAAGTACATGTAGCAGGGGAGAAGGAAGCAAGTATCAAGTCATGAAGGTAACCCAGCATATGCCAGGTGGGAGTGCAAAATGAAAGTGGCCGTGTATGTGTAGGAATTCGGGAAGGTCATTATATCCGATTAAATAACATCATATAGTCCCCTCCACAGTTTCTGTAGTCACCAAAACCCCAAAACACTGTGAACTGGAAAGTCACAAAAGCCCCAAAATACTAGCCTGGGTGCCATCCTCCATAATATTCCCTGGCTCCCTAATGCCGCTAGCTACGACGGGGTCTGGACTTGCTGACATATGTAACGTCTGGAATCTGAATATTCGTCCAGATTTTGAACGAGCGCGCTGATTGGTCCTACTTTTTTTGGGGGATGCTCTTGTAGGAAAGGTGTGTACATATTAGGTACAGCTGTAAGCCGTTCGGACGTTCGAACGACGACATTTAGATCTTATTCTTACAAATGTATGTTCTATCGCGCTACACGGGCTAGCTCATTTCGTGACGTCATCACCAGACGTTACATGTGTCAGCAAGTCCAGACCCAGTGGTAGCTAGCGACATTAGGGAGTGGGCAAATACTACAAAGGATGGCACCCAGGCTACCAAAATACTTCCCAGAAGTCAGAAATCTTTGATGTCCTGTTAAGGGTTGCATAATCTACCAATGTTGTTACAGCATGGCGGGCACACCTTCAAGCCCCTGGATGAGGTGTATGAACAGCATGTGGGAAACATCAACGAGGAGGTGGCAGCTCTGAGGAGAAGGCTGATGGAGCTCATTAGTCTGGTACAGGAAGTGGTAAGGGACAGACAAAGATTTTTATGTCGTTCACAGAGGTATTGTTTTCTGCAAAGATTTTTGTCCTACACAAAAAACAGGTGCCCAAGCAAATTTGCTTGTCTGAGTTCCTGTTTCCTTGCATATCTCATGACCTGGATGCCTAACCTTCATTGTGCTATTTTTGTCCTAAGGCCACACAATTTTAATTTCTTGGTTAAAGGATTTTTCTAGAAAAATAATGGAGCAGGTGGGTGAGAAAAAAAACTAAAAACAGGCCTAGGTATCCTATTATGGCCCAAAATGGTACGATAGGAGCCATGAAGTCAACACAACAGGCTGGTTCAAAATTTGAACAATGAATTTTGAACTTCTAATGAAACCATTGCATTGAAAGATGGAATAACTGAAACAACTAGGAAGAAAAGGACTGTTTTCAACTGTTCAGGGCAAAATATGAGCATTTTACAGTTGATTCTGATTTTTTTTTTGCAAATCAGAAAAAAATGAAGCGGGCGAATCCGTTAACCAAGAAATTAAATTGGTGTGGCACAAACCTAAATTTTTCAACACTATTGTTTTGTCCCATGCACAGGAAAGAAACGTGGACAGTGTACGACAAGCGAAGGACGAGCGTGTTCGGGAGATCCGTAACGCTGTGGAAATGATGATAGCCAGGCTAGACGCACAACTCAAGAGTAAACTCATCACACTCATGGGTAAGTCTTAGTCCTCAGGCAGAATGGCAGGTCAAAAGGTCAGACACAGGAAATGGGGTGAACTTCAGTACGTTGACAGCATGTGGTGAGGAAGATTGACAGGCAGAATGAGGGATAAAAGGTCTGACACAGAAAAATGGGATGAAATTGAAGGCCACAAAACCAACATCTGAGAAATTCATCTAAAATCTCTGATTTCCTGTTCTTTCATGTTTATTGATTCCTTTTATTCTGAATAATGTTATATTATGAAATAACAGTTGACAGACATTTAAAGCATTACTAATGGGTTTTGTTTTATTCGTCCTCAGGTCAAAAGAACTCTCTAACCCAGGAGACTGAGCTGCTAGAGTCCCTGCTGCAGGAAGTGGAACACCAGGTATAGACAAGAAAATAAACTATTACTAGAGAAGTAACATTTGCAAAGCAAATGCATAATGTTTACCTTTGGACATGGTCCGCTGTGTTAATTCTTACTCAAACATATTCACATACATGTACTACTAGTATATGGTGACAGCAGCAGAGCAGACCATGAAATTGCAACATTATGTAACCCAACACCAGTCACTATGGTGACAGACGTCAACAAATCATGTCATTGGTCAGGTCATAGGTCACTGGAGAAGAAGAAGAGGAAGAAACGGAGCAAAAACAATATGTTTTCCTTTGGTAAACATAATTAATACATTTTGTACTACATGTATGATAGCTTTTGCTTGTTTAGCCATCCTGGTCTTAAATTTTTCTACATGGATTCAAGGAAGGTTTTGGATGGATGGTTTAACTGTTTAACAGCAACCCTCCAGACTAAATTTTTAGCTTAGGAGCGCATGCGCTCCTAGCCTCAAAAAGTTAGGCGCGCAGGCAAACATTTGGGCGCTCAAAGAAAAAATCTGGTCGCGCAAAGTACTTTTTAATTTACAAGCCAAGAGATTGATGTATCTAAACAGACAATTAATTATATAATTCTTTCATTATCATAGAAACAAAATCAAAATTCACCATTTGTACTAAAAGAATTGTGATAAATGAAAGACCAAACAATGATTTTACAAGTAACTGTCTTTAATGTGTTCAAAGTCACTTCATCTCAGTCGTTAGGCCAGGCTGACTGATATGTCGGTCTCCTAGGCCTCTGGAGGGTTAGACATGCTTTCTAAAATCCACTTGCGTGGTCATTTTCACTTGCCCGAACCAACTTTTCACTTGCCCGAAATATAAATGACATATATCTATGCATTTATCATTGCAACAATGAAATCCTTTATATAAAAAAACACTTAAATGTTTTAGGCAATAATACACTGAGTCATTCATGATCTAACGGTTAATAATATTAACATTGCTACTCAAACCATTTTGTTAACGTTAAAGGTACAGATTTTCAATGAAGACAATGTAATGATTCAATGTTCTTTATTTCTCAACTTTTCAGGTAACACTACATGTCTGAAGTAGTTTCATTGACTGAAAAATAATTAATAAAGGGTTAATGCACTGCCCCGAGTTGTATATGGTGTCATAACTGCATGAGCAGCTGCCATAACCACCGAATAAACCACCGTGTGAGCGAAGCGAACGAGGTGGTTTATGAGGTGGTTATGGCAGCTGCCCATGCAGTTATGACACCATATACAACGAGGAAAAGGCAGTGCATTAAAATTATTATCATATAGCCTATCCAAACTGTCAATCAACACAATTCCTGTTTGAAATACAACAGCTTTAATATATATACATACATAAAATACATTCGAATATATTATACGT